GGACGTTTGGTGTGATGTTGTAAATCAGTACCAAAAGTAATCTAAACGAAAAAGATATGAAAAGTCATTCTGTCAATGAAATAGCTACAGTATCAAACTTCAGTTCTATGATCAATGTTTGTCATTGTCATTTCAAAATGACAAATTATAGCTACTGTATTGACTTATGTGAGCTTTCAACTATTTTATGCAAGATAGTCAGCTGTATAAGATTTGAGATTATAATTATCATTCATTGCTATAGACAGTTTAAGATCATTAGGCAAAAAAAATCTATCTAATACAGTACTAATGGTCAGATTTTAGTACATTACAGGATAAGAAACAATTAAGACAGATTGATGATTTTACAGTATGCATGTATGGACTATAATCTAAATACCTCTTGTAGCTGTTGAATTTTGCTTGTCGTATAAAATAATCTTGACGTTGATCGGCTTTACAAGTAGTATGTTCACTGTAGGATATGAATGACGCAAAATATTAATTCTCAATTTTCGAACCATAAATTGGTGTTGAGCACGGATACTACAGGATGTGCAATCTATTCTACAATATTATCGAATGATATGAATCACTTACAAGATTTAGCAGGAGATGAATGACAGATGGAAGATGCACAGAATCGTATGAGTTGGATATTACAATGACTGTACTGCAATAATAATAATAATTGAAATAGAGTATATTTATTAGTACGAGATAATGCTGGCTTCGTTCAAATTGATTATCTGAGTACAACAGTGCACTGTTAGCTTGAATAATCTTTTATTATGCTGTACTTGTATTTAAATATATCACGATGTTGATCGTTGCAGTGGTCAATTACTGAAGTGACTATGATCCAGTTATCGATGCAATTGATCAATTTCTTTCTTCGAGTGATGCTAAATTTAGCCTTGTCTACAGTATTTTTGACTTGTATCTCAGCAGTACACTACCGTTATTTCATGAATTACTGTATCTATCAAATTGTCTACAAGAAATAATCCAAAGCTATCAAGTACGCAATCACCCTCAATAAAGGCAATCAACCAACGATCATACTACTGTACAGTATAGATTTCCCCTACCTAATTAGAACACAATAAAACTTCTTATAGTAGTAGTATTTGTTATTCCACTTTTAAGTACAGCATTCGGTCTGATTTAGTTTTTTACTGAAAGCAGCGCGTATGAACCAAGGGACGCTAACTTGCTGTATTGTAAAAGCTCGCGCAGGCGTATTGAGCCAAGTCGAAATGAGTAGAATGGTTCCATTTTAACGATAATAATTATAATAATTATTAATAGATAATACTTTAATTGAATTGAATTATTCATGAGACTGCCCTCGACTAGAGGACGGACAGATGGCGGGCACTTAGATTGGTCCAAAGTGGAACCTGCAATGCCCTCAACTTGCTACTTTCCGCAGGTAAGAGAAAGCTTTTTATTTGGTCATTTTAACTTGTGCAAGGGTAATATTATATTATTATGAGTGCGTTTACTATACGTTGTTGTTACTACGATAGTCTTAGCTTTCATACAACGATGAGAGCTAAATTGTTCAGAGAAATAGACTTGATCCTAGTTCCATAGTCGATGCTGTAGCTTGTAGGATTAATTTTCATTCATAGACTCGTGCGCTATAGCCATACTGAATTGGAGATCAATTTTGTACTGCATACATGATATAAGTGCTATAGATGCGCTAGATTTTCACTACTGGACACTGTATGTGCACACTGCACGGTACATGGAGACGAAGCACGGATAATTAGATTCACCCAAATGGTATAGTGGTAGTGGTTAGTCAATCACTATTTTGACTATCTTCCGAGCTGAAGCGTTCGTGGCTAACAGGAGAATAATTGACTATACTATCCTGAGTTACCTTGTCTTAATTAATATTTATACAGTATTTACGGTATAGATGTTGAATGTAGGATTCATTAGAAACGAGATATTTAGCTCTATAATCTTGTATAGTTACGATTATATGTTACCTGAATGATCATAAAGTATCTTAGATAGAGTAAGTCTGCGTTGTGCTGTATGCTTAATTTATTATAAACCAGAAACAATAAATTAATTCTATAATTCCTTACATTTATGATCATATGGTATTTAGGTTATTATTGAACTATAATGTACGTTTATCTTGCTATTAGATACATTAAGTTGTGTGCTATAGATACAATGCTTTTTAATGTAATGAACGAAATCGGGAATCAGTCGTATACTACTGCAATGCCTACAGATCGGTTGATACATAATGCAGAATGAAATCAATGATAACATTACTAAATTACAAACTTGCGGCTTACATTACAAATATTTCAAGGATCCTTTGTAAGAAATGATCTCTCAAGATACCAGCAGGTCTGAAGATAGCACTATCCGCAGCAGGAAGAAATTAAATAATGTACAAAATTTTAAGGATCAGCGCGATGGAAAGCAAGACGTAGTTTATGGTGAGAAAATGCAACTTCAATGCGGTATATTTTAAGCTGTAACTAGCTTTACTAGTAATTGTGTGTAGTAATACCTAGCAACAATACCACCTAACACTACAGTAGCGTAGAGCCAAATGTAGCTGCATGAGAAATGTTTACAATAAGTGTAAGCGGTTGGTTTTTTGCATCAAAGCAAGAGGTAATATATAGTAGCTTTATACGTTCATATCTATCACCGGCAGGCATTTATAGCGATAGTTACTATCAATGTACTGCAGAGGTTGTTAATCGATTATAATTGTGCAGACTTAGGCAAGTTTCAGTAACTGATAATAATTAATTAATTTGCGCTGTATTTAGTCACGATATTTTGCAGGCAAACGTATCGTAAATCGAATTAATAAGCAATGCTTAAAATTAATTATTGCAATGCACTGCTTTCAGATAATAAACTCGCTCTATACTTTGAATGTTATTTAGCTTATTTCGTCTTGTATAATGACATATACGCGTAGAGTAGGTATCAACTGATGAGAAATCCCATTTGCTCGGGATGATGTACAGCTAATATATCTATAATATTATGCTGTACTATACAAATGAGTTTCTTATACATACCACTTTATTTCTTAGTACGTGAATTTATAAAATACTGTACAATTTTCTGACAGCCTTAGCCGTAGAAACGTACTGTACTGTAGATGTATTCTATAAATATTATTGTGCAATGTACAGATTTGGTGATAGTGTGAAGAGTATTTTGAAGTGTTTGCAAATGAAACTATTTTTGGAAATATCTTGCCTAAATTATTAGAAGATTTATTCTAAATATGTCTATACCTCAATTACTACATCTTTGACTCACATGCTTCCTATTTTAGTAGCTGTCTAATGAGTAGTACTGTAATGAACCTGCATTCAATGCTAATTTTAGCTGTTGAGGATTATTGACTTGATCTTTTGAGAATATCTTTGGAAATAGAACTAGTTTTCGGCATATATACATAATAACTTTAATTTTAGGATTCTTATTGTAAAAAATTTCGACATGTAACTACTATTCTTCTACTCATCCTATAGTTCCTTTTAGTAACTATCTAATTCTGCATTTGTTGCTAATTTTAGCTGTAGAGGACTATCGACTTGATCTTCTGAGGATAGTTTTGATGGTCCTAATATTTTTTATACTTCATTGGTTATTTGGACGCTTTATTTGGAACTCAGATCAATCTGATATTGATAAAAGTGCTATATTAGAAAAGGCCAAGGAAAAAGTTTGTCCTAAAGGTGCAGTATGAACATAAATACTGTACTCCAGTTTATGTAGCACTAAAAGTAATAAAATCAATAGTTTCACGTCACATTTCGATTTTACGCAATTTGTACCGATAAATATGATGTAATGGATTATATTGTAATTTTCTATGCTATTCATGTAATCTGATACTCAGTCTTATTCCTATGCTTTTTCATTTTGTTGCAGGTTATGATTGCTCATACAATCTGAAAAGCAATGATGAACTAAATTATAATTAGTATTATTAATTGTAAATCAGAATGTATATATGTCTGTATTGGAGATTATATTTACGCGTATTAGGATTACGAAAACACTATAAAAACTAAACCTACCTTAAAAAATTACATAGCATATTTATCTTTTAATATCTACAGTCTGTATTTGCATAATATTGTTTTCATATTGGTAACAGTTGAGTGACCAAACATACATCGCTAGTTCGTAGTAACTATAAAAATTAATGAACTGGTACCTGTCATCATTCATGACTTTCCACAAAGGTACCCTAACATTCTACGTTTCGTTTACTACGTAAACGTATTGTACTGATGTCTCCAGTCCCTAATCTATACGAGCGTTATATTTGATTGGGATAGACTGGCTTGTAATGTTAATATAATCGTCTATAGTTTTAATTGGAAACAGTAAGAATTAGCAGAATAATTTAGAAGTTGTGAACTTTGAGCTTGATTTTATCAAAATATCCAAAGAAAATTTAACACAACACCTAGTAATATACAGTACGACTTCGCCGTATGGTCAATAAGTTAATATAACCTTGGAATATGTAATGCAATATCTAAGCCTGTCAGGATACTACGGTTGTATAGAATATAAAATCAAAGATAGCAACAAATACGGTAAATTTAGTTATAAAGGAATATATTACTGTTTATCAACCAAAGTAAGGACGAAACAATTTCTGTCAAATAGTAGGAATAAATTTATTTTTCATTGTTAATAATGTTCATTTTGTGCCGCAAACAAAGGCTTTAGAAATGTTTGTAACTTCTGAAGGGTTACTAAAATTGTTGAAATGCTCTCTAAGTTATCCATGCACCTCATTGAATAGCGTAAACAGTAAATTTTAGAATAACTTGCACGAGAGAAATAGATACGTAGCATCTTGGAATAATTAGCGCTTTAACGTAACAGCTTTGACTAATACAACGGTGAATCATTTTAAATTATCTACTAGTATTTTCCTCATTTCATTGCCAATAAGTATTCAAAAAATTGTTAGGAACGAGCAGTTTTCTTCATTACGCTTCCTCTAATTCTACTAAAACTCCGCCACAGTCTTTAGGATGTAAAAACATGACCGGCTTATTATGAGCTCCAATCTGAGGAAGTAATAGCAGATTTAGTAATTAATCGCTGTAAATGTTTACTTAATTTCATATGTAGTAAGGAGACACTCGAGGTAGAGTTTTGTAAATAGCACTACTGCAACAGGAAAAGTGGTACATATCAAACTAGGTTGAATTTTGAGAATCTTACTCGAGGTTCTTTTGAGAGGGTTCTAATTTTATTGGAAACTAGATCTTTCATTGCAGCTTTAATATCATCAACCTAATGTTAGAAAATCCGAAAACAGAATGAGGAGCAAATACAACATAATTTTTATAAAGACGCGCGCTGCAGTATTTCATAGACGTGGATAAAAGGCATAGTAGATCTATTAGTTTAACTATGTGGTATCTACCTCTATACAAATATGATGCATGCCACCTTCTGGTTTTTTAGCTAGGAAACCTTCGATGGGACTTTGCTCTCCCAGAGGATGCAATAGCTATGGAATAAATAATAACAATTTAAATAGATGTTATGAAATACGGTAGTACTTGGATATTCATACGCACTCTTGGGATATTATTAAGGATACAAAATCTATATCCTTGTTATCATGAAATACCAGAGTATAAAAGCTCAAACAGGAAATGTAATATGAGTGTATTATGATTAACGAATGACTAACTTCAATTTTGGTATTGCCAAGATCTATAAATACTGTCGTGACTCCATGTTCAGGGAGAGGCTGATGGAAATTATTTACGAGAGATCTAGATTAGACATTAATTTGATTTGCAGCAGTAATTGTATTCGTTAAGTGCATAACTGACCAATTGCTCGCTAACACTTGCTCCAAGAACATCACGATAAAATGCCGTTGCTTTCTCTGCAATAAAGATAGAACACAAATATAATATTTTAGAAATGTTGGACATCAGCAGGGACTTCTGAAAAGTCCCTGACACCAGCCACAGTAGCGCACTGTACGTGTCATATTAGCTCAGTGCATTAATTTAATTTAAAGAATGATAGCAAAGACACTGCTTCAACTATATATAATTACTGTCTTCACTACATGTACTTTAGAGTATTTCATTACATATTGATAGACCAAATTTAACCCTTGATTGACGAAAAAATATACATATTCGTTATAGATGAGTGACTTCGGAGTAGCTACCTCCATTATCACTGTCTAATGATTGCAACGTTACCTAAATCTGGAACGGCTATAGCGAGATGATTTAGCTTACCAAGCTTCCAAAACGCTTGTTCTTTATTCTGCAAGTTTAGTACAGATACAATCAATGTTATTCAAACGGTGCAGAGTTCATGAAAGTTGTGCTGATAAGTTACAAACTAATATTGTGGGGGAAGTTAGTAGAGTTCGTCTGATGGTACTTTTTGCTATTTGTTCCGAGATATTCTTGTAATCAATCAATCAATAAATAGAAAGGAATAAAGACGGTGATTAAAACAAAACAACTTGCTAACTATCTTCAAGTAAGGCACATACAGTACGTAAGATACTCTCATCGGTTAATTGCTCTACCTTGTTATAATACAACCATGATCTTCGACCAGCTAATGAAATAAATCTCATCACTGAAGCCATCTTGTCTTTTGAAAAGCAATATGCAAAGATCAACTAGCACTTGAGTGCGGATATAAATCAAACTTTGCGTTTAATAGCCAAACCTACTATTTGTTGTCCTTGCAGCCAGTATGATGGACTTTTAGAACCCGTCGTTGAGTGCAGTAAGTGCGCATGTACAGTGTACTGTATAGTACCATCCATTACAGTTGTCCTACCAATACCTCATCCTTTGGCTATACTGTACTATACATAACGTAAGCCATCCCAGCAGCTCTTCCTGTCGTAGCTACATTTTAGCTCAACTACCTTCTGATTACTAAACTAGAAATTACTCCTCATAATCCAACATCGTTACGTTGAAAAGCCGATCAAGTGGATATCTAGCATGTTATATTGATGTATCATCAAAATAACAATGTTTATATGCATGGCATGCCCCTGCCTCCCGGTGGAGCTGGCATGATGGGGTACTATCAACAATATCAGCCACCACCACACCATCCATTTCAGGTCTATTATCCACCTCCATTACCTAATGCTCTTCCTGGAAATTTTAATGCACCTGCACCTGCCAAAGTGATTGAAGAAGATCCTGTGCAAACATGGTGTAAGAAAGTAGAAGCAAAACAAGTGAAAAAGATTCCTGTTACAACTACTGTACGGCTAAGTAATTCCAATTAAAATTTTGATATAAGTAGTTTACTCACTCGTACGTAGGTTAGACGATCCACACTTCATGCTAAGGTCTGTAGCAGTGCTTTACAGACATCGTACAGCAATTATAAATAAATTTATTTATGTCTTCTATCTGTCAGTATACACAGCAAACGTAGATGGCTATTAAAAACTAGAACGCATTAAACTAAACTAATTATATTGTGAAATACATAATGCCGCTGGACTGATGTCTTCATCGTTCGATACCTTCCATAACTCTAGAAAGCGGGCGCAAATGAATTTTACGATTACATTATTAATGTGCTACATGAATATCATGAAGAAATAGGGATTGCATAGGATTTATGCACAGAGTATTTCTTATCTATGCTATTTAAATGGAGTAGTATTCACAACTACAATCTCATGATAAAGTGGGCCTTGTAGCGTATTAGCTCAGTATTTCCCTACAATAACGTAAATTTTGCTTTGTTCAATGAAAGGTTGTGAGAATTATCAGCGTTTATGGATATGTATAAATATACCAAGCAATAATTTTATGCTGTTGTTGATTGATGTATACAGGTATATGAGGTGAAGAATGCCATTCACAGAATACAGTCTCACTTGCAAGAGCTAGTTCAATATCAAAGCAAATTAACAACAGCAGCTAGTCACAAGGATAATTCACAATTGAATGAAATTATTTCACAAGCTCATCAATTGATGGTTTGTTCATTTTATTATAGATTTAGATAGCCAAAGAATTTAATCATAATCAGCTCATACGTTATAAATTTCTATTATTGTCATAACAGGATGTAATTAACAATGAAATGGAGCAAATATCAAATGAAGATACAATAGAAATGATGAAACAGAAAGTTAATAAATCAATGAAAAAGAAGGTAAAAACTGTAACCATAAAGTGTTGTATCAGTAGTAATGTTCGGCCTAATTTAAGAGGTTATAAAACTATATATTTTACCTATCATGCTCAAGGATTGGAGAAGAAGATGGAGAACTCGGAATAAATTAAAAGCACAGCAAAGATTAGCAAATATCGTCAAGCAAGAAAAGAAGGCCACAGAATGGCTCGATGAAAAATTAACCCAGCAAAGGCGAATTCTTCAAGTAAGCAAAAATGAAATGTAATCACTTTTTTATAAAACTTTAGCCCTAACAATTATAACGTCAATCAATATTATCTCTACTTGCTTACCAATGGCAAATTATAGGAGGAAAAGATGAAAAATCAAGCTGATGAAATTTTACACGAAGTGAGATCGAAGCAAGATGACACTTCCAAAGCATTAGAACTATTGAGTGCGATATCTAAGCTTCGCAATATTAGAAAGACTGCTGCTGAAAATACTGGTAACTTGTACTTGATATTTAATGATTACTTTCGTATGCAGTTCTGTGCATAAAACTTCGATGGCGGCAGAGTGAATACTTTATACTGGTAATTACTTTTAGGTGTGTATCCTATTCCTACTGTTACTGAGAATGAAAAATTTGAACGATTACAAGATGATCTCGAAAAGATGTTATGCACCCAAATGGAGAATTATAAGGAGGAACAGAAAGTGTTAGAGGTTATTATTGGTAACGAGACTGCAGCACAAAAAGAAAGGGAAGCATTACAATGCAAGTATCATTCCATAATTCTTAAAACACTCAAGACTGTTAGAAAATTTTATTGAATTTATGATGAAATTGTGATCTTAATAGTGACATTTCTTATGTATATGCATATGATAGTGTGTTATTTTGTGGGAACGTTTGACTATGAATGTTTTTAATCATTAATATTATTTACAATAGGAGTATCTTTAAAGTTAAATAAATGTTTTAAGTTGTTATCACGATACTTATTGCCATTTTAGCTGTGCAAAACTGCCCGACAAACCTAAGCATGTATCAGAGCTTTTGGCTTCAAGCTGAACATAGTATAGAAGCTTTGGTAGAAGTAAGGTATGTGCATTGTTTTATTTAATGAGAGCGAATGCTAAGTAGATTATCATATTTAATAATTAATAGATGTCGCGTTTGATTGTTACATGCAAACTTCAATTAGGCGTCAGTGGGATTCCTATACTACACCATCAGCAACTGCTGGTTCCTCAAGACTACCGACAAGCAATGTAATTGAACCAGTAGTACCTTCACGTGACGAGTGGAAAGTGTACCTGCAAAATACGTAGTGTAACATAACATACCTATATTATGATATCTATATGTCGTATATGTATACAGTATATCAATCTGCTTGAGTTGAAGTGATATTAATCTGGAACGTCTGGCTAAACAGCTTAACACTTTATTTAAGTAGACGATGGTATTTCGATGACATCAAACTGATTATTTAGTGGTATGATTACATCATCAGAGCTGTGTAGAATAACTCTTTTTATTTGCTTATTTATTTTATTTTATAATCTTTCATTATTGTATTGGAACTGTACAGTCATTTGTGATGGTTTAAAATTGTAATTACAGTAAATTAATGAATACATAATGATAATGAAGTATACTCATACAGTTGATAGCAGCTATGACTAAATCTTAGGTTTATCTTTGTATCATGCTAAATTAACTGTATAAAATACTAATCCTGTAATCTTTACCTACTATGCTATGTACATGTATATAGTTTACGTTTATATGAGTATGCTGTATATATAATATTTGTTGTCTTTGGACTACTGCGAATAGTTTGTACATTCGTTATCGTTGTAGTTATTGAAAATGAGTTTATCTAAATTTGAATCTATGTGCTATTATTGATATTATGGTATGCGTTGTATGGGAAATACAGTAGATGTACAAATACTGAAAAATGAAAAGGAATTTTTATTGAAAATAATGGATATTGTCTACTGTTGCTGCATCGTCTTTAATGTCGATTGCATTTTCTGCTCTATACGAGTATTATTACGCTACTGTAGTACTGGGTCTACTAACTAAAAGATAGATGGAAGCGGAGCAGACTTTTCAGGATGCCAGTCCTTATAGACTATGCTAGAGCAGGCAATCAGTTGGGTCTGGTAACTAGAGTTGAGCATCAATGCAGTGTGTCCTAGTGATTTTTTACCGGTGTATAGTGTAGCTTCTAGTAAAATCCTGACATTCCAGCGGCTAGTCATGCAGCCTGATGTAGGATGCAGAAAGTATGGTATACAGGTATTGAAATTTTGATTAAATGTGCTCTATGATGGAGAGTATGTATCCAAGAATACTGTACAATACAGTACGGTATAATTCATTTAGATTGAAATTGCTGCAGTGCAAATACTAGCAGATCCGACTTCGCTGAACGTCAAGAAGAAGCCAAATTCGCTGCTTCGTATTCTTTCATATCGTGTCAACAGACGGACGCCACACGGACCAGGTGGCGTACAGTCCACAGTACGAAGAGTGTGTAATGCACTGTGCACTGTACACTGTACAGTACAGTATTTGCACAGTGCGCAGACGCTGACGCTACAGTACAGTACGACACATGGTGACTGGCTAACGCGATTGTTAACCGCGTTGCCTGCCGGGAGCTTCTTCCTTTTCGTCCTTTACTATCCAACAAAATGGTAGGTAGCGTGGATTATCAGCTGAATCATTTCGATATCATCATCATCGGAAGGAATAATGACTATTTAACGTTCTATCATAGTAATTTAAGATGTTTGGGACATAGTAGGCCATTTTTTTAAATTAAAAGTTGCCATTTTCATTATCAAACAGGGTCGGGTACGTACAAAAACTGTTAAGAAGGCTGCTAGGGTCATCATCGAAAAATATTACACCCGTTTAACCTTCGATTTCCATACCAACAAGAGGATTTGTGAAGAGGTTGCTATCATTCCTAGCAAGAAATTACGAAACAAGATTGCTGGGTAAGAGAAAGGATCATTTTAAATGAAATGGACGCGGTAATGCAGCGTTATTTGTCGTTCTTCAAGCTCATACATCAATCATTGATACTGTGTATAATGTTATGGTGTACAAGTCATGATTCATAGTCCAACACATTCTTAAAGCAATACTTTTCCTGTTTTGGGCATAGTTTTGCTACACATTTAATGAGGCGCATCCAACGTGGACCAGTCCGTGGTATTTCCATCAAGTTGCAGGAAGAAGAAAGAGAAAGAAGGGATAATTTTGTACCTGAAGTAAGTATAGCCTTCGTCCACCAACCGTATTGTGTCTACCGTATGAATACAGGAATAGGCTGCGTTGCAAATGGATTGGATAGTTTCTGAAAATGCGTTAGATGTATTTGGTAATCGTGGTAATATTACTCTCTCTATTAGGTTTCTGAATTGGCTCAAGAAGTTATTGAAGTCGACTCTGATACCAGGGACTTATTGCGTGAGATGGTAAGCTTTCCAATCATGATAGACATGACTTTGATTATAATTATTGCATTGACAGTAGATCAATATAGACTCATCTGTTCTTCGCATGATTATTCTTACAGAATGTTATGGATGACATCACTAACTTACAAGTTGTGCAACCCATTGAGAACTTTAGAGGTGCTATTGGTGGAAGACAATAAACCTGAGCACTACTACCTACAATCGATATTGTATAATAATTCTTCAATAAAAGTAATTACTTGAACAGAGATAGTTTGTGATCTTTTAATTCTTCGGAGTATCAGCGATGGGGTAACTAAGGTATTTAACAACTTACTTGTAACTAAATTTATTAAGTATATTGTACACCTGATAAAAGTTATAGTACAGTAATATACAGTAAACTGAACGTTTCAGTTTTGAACGTTTATCCGTGACAAGTTCCTAAGTTTATTATGTCTACTGTATTACCGAGATCAACTATTTATAGTATAAAATATTAGATTTTTGCTAGACCATTCAATAACTACGTCTTCCATATGGACTGCAGGTATCGAAATCCTCGATACCTGATAAACTTGGTAATAAGTTGGTATGAATCAAGTCTATTCCTGAGGATCGATTAGGATGCAATTTAGCATTTTAAATTAAAATTTTTTATGGATATATGCAAGTAGTGTACCAGTAGGGCTAAGTATAGAACAGAAGCCTGTCTACTTGTACTGGGTACTATCAAATCTTCAGATTGACAGTATTTCATGCATCAGCGATACATAGCAGCTATATACTCCTACCTCGTATTAACGTTGTACGTTTGCAGTCTGGGTGATATCAATTAAATATAGGATATAGCTATATCCTAAATTTATTGATTACAACTTTATTATTTTCTTGGAGGTAAGATAACTTGGATATCATTCGAAATAAGTTTCGCAGCTTAGTCACGAAATTACTAAAGCAACGGTTTTATCAAACTTTCGTAGTAACAAGTTAAACTTTCACATTGGAAAATGTAGTTATTCTACTTTGCTATACAACCAAACGTCACCAGAAGTTAGAAATGACATTAAATAGTATTCAAAGTTGATTACAATCAGTGCAATTGCAAAGTATCCACTACAAAGAACGTTGAAGAAAACTGTAATCCAGTCATGGTCAAATTTACTGTTATTCCGTTATCCGGGAAACAGGCATATCAGTCCATCACTTATTGACTAGTGTCATTTAGGTTGGCCTGCAGTCCACCATAGAGAGCACAGGTCAAGTCCTATCTCCGGCGGTAGTTCCTACCATTAAGTTTACATTTTAAACGTAAGAAAAAATCGGTTTCGTTATAAAGCTGAAAAGGATTAAATTCTATCACGAAATTTGAGAAACTACCGCATAATTTACAGATATTTCTTACTAGAAACTTCATATTTATGCTAATATACCTGTCCACCACGGCATATATGAACCAACTTGCCCTTATTCCAAGGATTAATTAAATGCTTTGTTGCATGAAATGGAATGTTGAATCTAAAATAGATGAAGATAGGGTTAACTCTAATTGGCTAGAAATGCACTTTAGTATAATTGGAAGGCTATATAATTAGCATGCGATAAATACACACATTGTTATACCATAATAATATGTTCTCATAAGACTAAAATTTACAATTTATTCGTTATAGCCGTAATACGAAGATGAAAAGCATGCTTTATTTCATTACATTTTGATCCACTTTATATCGAATATTCCTGTGCGATATTGTGGTACAGGAGTTGTAAAAGGAGTGCTCAATTTCTTGATCGGACTGCTCATTTCAGCATACCCTATTGAAAATATATAATTAGGTCAAATACAGCGATCTACTTCAAGGGTTTTAATGAATTTCTTACGATATCCGGTTTTAATTCTTATCAATTTAATACCTTGAAAATGCTTACTTCTTTGCGCAGAAAATATTATCATAACTTTATCACTTTCCTTAAATCAAATAACATTATACATGTATGATCAGATTAAGACCAAAAATCTTCAGTACCGATTCTATTTTCTTGTAAACTAGTTTAATATTTGCCTACAGCTTGTACGCTTAAAAATTTATATTATCTTAACGTAAGAATGTACAGTAAGTATATGTAAAGGCTAAAAGTTAAAATGCCCTCTTAATATCAGAAATGAATGTTATTTCAGTACGAATAAAATTCTAGTTACAGAGTAAGCCTTGTGCAATTTCTTCTCGATTGCTCGATTACAAGACCAAGTTCCCTAAAGGTCAAACGGCAGTAAACTTGTTAAGTACAGAACGATACTAGAGATTGACTATGTTAGTATTCTAGCGAATAAAAACCATCATCAGCCCAAAAAGCTCATAACATAACTAATAAGAAGAGATAAAAATCACATTCGAGGAAAATATTCGTAGATACCTTGGATACAGCATCGGGAAGGATATTTTCGTTATAACATTTTAGTATGAAGTAACGAATATTGGATCTTTTACCTAGAAAGAACCAAATAGAATGTTGAGAAATTTCTTAATATACAGTTCCACTTCAACATGCACAACATTTAACGTATATATAAGAGTTATTACCAAGCTTTAACACTTACTTTGATTACGTATCGTTAAGGGCTTCGCAGACTGAAATGTAAATAAGTTAAAATATAGCTATTAACTAATAGAAGTATTTATATTGGTACGTATGCATAAAGAATTAATCATTAACTTCCTATCCAGTATATCAGATTGTTTAGGAGTAGTCCTACCTGAAATTCTCCAACTTTACTTTTTGTAGACTCTAGCGATAATGAAAATAAAAAGTATTACTCAGTAATGATACTAATGATTTACAGATAATTATAATAATGTCTACAGTATATTACATTTCTGCTGAGAGGAATAGTAATACTGTATTAGTTATTTTACAACCTGATTGATCATGCTCTTCCTTAGTGCTGTATTTCTTGATAGGTGTGGTACCTTTCATACTCGTATACCTCTGGCTGAAATGCATAGGATTTTAGTAAAATCAACGTATTGCGATTATATGGTATTAAAATATGATTTAGTGTACATAGCACAATTATTCATTACAGTAACTATCTGTAATACCGATTATTATTATTATGAACATGGCCTGATTGCTTCTTATTATCAGTACGCTGTCAATATAAAAAATATTATTAAATTTTTGTTATCGCACTCTCTTTAAATAATAAACACTCGTGAAAAATAAGAGAAATCTTTGGTAATGAAAATTTGGGTATTTAACTTACAATTCTGCATGATTGATTTACGTTATTTCCTCCCTGCCGGCTATCTAAGGCTAAAATTGTATATACGAATAAACACATATTAAAGATAGATTGTATAGACCACCTGATTTCCTCCTAGATGAACTTAAATGTGATATTTTCATACCTGATAGGTAGTGTACCTTTTCCTGTAAGTTTGTTAGTTTATCTTCGCTAGCCAAAATAACTTGTAAGGAATCAATAAATTGCTATTAAAAAATAAAGATCTATTTAGTTTAAACAATTCTCATACGTGATGGTTAGCTGTACATTAAGTTGGAATGTTTTAGTTAATCTACCTCTTCTGAAGTATGATGAATTCCTGGTTGTATTAAATTGCGTAATATCGCTTGCAGTAGCATCCTTTTAATAGCTAATAGTAGGTTTTTCTCCTAAATATTACAGCGATATCATAAATAGGGCGAGGATAGTATCAGTACATTCATTCATTTAAGTTTTCATACAACCGCTCAAGTTATGTTGGTTACATAGTTTGTGTAAATATTTACAGAAGTCACATTTTATATTCTCTATTTAGTATATCTTCCCATTTGCCGATGCAAAATAGTAACGCAGATACAATAATTTAAAGAAATTACTTTGGTGCAGTATACCTCTCTAGCTACTGTGAAGGAAATCCAACTATTTTCTATTTCAATTTTCTCCATAACGTCGATATTCTCTGCTTCATTTTCGCTATCCATCATATTTTCAGTTACAGTTGGTTTATACTCCTTTATGTCCTGATTTTGTGATCTTTGTTCTTCCAATACTTTTCCTCCGTTGACATCAAGGTCTTTTTGAATATTATTTAGGGCCGCACTATAATCTTCCTCTTTCTTTGGGTAAGGTGAGCCAGAAAATAAATAAGTAACTATGGCTGATGTAACTGTTAGACCAACAGCTGCAGTACTTGTGTAATTTCTATATTAGATTGTAAGTATATTTATAATGATTTTTTACGATATACCTCGATATTGTATACTTCTTGTATTAATTAAAATATAACAATAAAGCAATTTTACCTCAATAGATCATTGTATATGAACCAATTGGAATTTGCTTTCATTTCATGTGTTTTTGAGGTAGCAGACTTTGCCGATAAAAGTCCAAATAACATCGACGAACGATGAATTTTTATTTTTTTCAATCTATGATAGAATCTATTGTTACCTATTGATCGACCTTGTTTGTAGCTGTGAAATAGAGAAGGAGTGCTAGTTTTATATGATTAATATACTAATTTTGATTTACCCTGCGGTTAGCCAACAATTACTGGGATCTATTTTAGCAATATTTGGGTATAATCCAGCTACAAGGGCCGCCTAGTATATTAAAATATGAAATACAGATTCTTAATGTAAGGATTAAATACAAGCTTTAACTATTACCATTAACATGGTGTAGTTGTACATAAATTTTGCAAGAAAGGTCTACTAACATTAACGAACGTCCAGCTTCCCGAGTTTTTGTTATGGTAGTCATATTTACCGCTGCTGTAGGTTTTGAAAATTTTTAAATGTTTTAGCAAATCAACCAATTGCGATCTAGAGATACGCGTAAACAAACGGCATCAAGTGTTAGTCTTCTGCAGTACAATGATAAGAAAATGATTTATAGTTACTTTATTTTCCTGATCATTTCCAAGGTGTCTTTCGATAAATAATTTTTTTTACAGAAGGATTGACCGAAGCCATTAGCCTTTGATTTCTGCCAAGCCTAAGCTCAAGAAAGCATAAATCTGAGATATTGCTTCTAATTGGTCTGTACGATATAAGCATGAGGTTAGGAATAAATGATATACCTCAAAAACTTGTACTATTAAGTAATGATCACTTTGGATATTATTGCATATTGTTCGTTTAAAATAGTCAATTTTGATGAAGTCGCTTGATTCGTCGGGTAGGATAACTATATGAATGTACACATTAGTGTTGATAATTCTAATAACCAGTAGTTTAAGAATATCATAATTTATAAAAAAGCATTACATGGATCTCGATAGGATAGTGTCGATACAATAATTAATATTGGCTCTAGGCATCGTAGAGTAATTGCATATAGAATAGCCTTGGCAAATCTTGGCTCAACCGGAACTTCCGCCACAAATTTACCTATATCCAACCAAAATTTTACCCAAGCATATGATTTAAAGGCCCAAAATATTAACGATTTATATTAAGCTGATATAAAATTAGTGCTTACACCAATATGGGTGAATATTCGACATCAATAATCAAGCTATTTGTAACTTTACCTAATTCCGTTAGGTTTTCGTTTTCATCAAGGGCCCCAATAGCCTATAATTCATCATGTCAATATATCAGAGAATGTCTAAAAGGCTCCGAAATATTTATTATTAAGAAGAGCACTTTACCTTTAAGCATTCCACCGCATTATTAACTGCAATAAAAGATGGTGGCTCTATAGCATCATTTAAAAATTCTGCTATGGAAACGTTAGTATTCAAGAGTTTTACTTGTAGAGCTAATTCCTGATAAAAATAGATAGTCACAGCATTAAATAGGTTTAATATTATTAGTAGTATGAATTATCTTAGGCAATACCATCTAATAATTCAGTATACTGGAGTTACTTAATCAGTAATGTCGTCAAATAACGCTTTTAAGTTAGATTATACCTGTAAGGGTATGCGCAAAATTTCAGCTCTTAAATAATCGCTCAAACTATTATATTTCGATTTACTATATATATGGTAACATCGCCCAGGTTGGCATCGGCCAGCTCTAGATTTACGTAGTAATTATTCATGAAATTAGTGACATGATTGAGGTGCAACAATCAATGCGATCTAACAGAGATCTATACTACTGTTACCTTCCTGCTCGTTGCTTCGCGTTGGCTTTCGATATCCAAGCAGAAGTTAATGATGATGCAGACGATAAAGCATCAAAATTTTTCTATAGAATGTGATGAGTAATGTCTAAAGTTGCTTGGGTACTTATACTACATTGCTATTTCGAAAAAATAATATGAAAAAGTCCGCTAATACAGTATTGAATAGGTAATTTACCATTTTTATTCTTCCAGAATCAATAACGTCTACCACATCATCAATAGTAATACTTGTTTCGGCAATATTAGTAGATAATATCTAATCAAAGACATAAAGGTTGAAACAGTGTTAGGAGAGATTATCAATTAGTTATATTTCAGCAAGTTACGGTATGTCTTATCAACAGTAGTCATAAGATTGCCATATAAAGTACAGTACTACGTATGTCTTAGCTAAGTCCTATTGCAATCAACTGGTCGACTAATCGGCATAACTGGGTACTTACAATTTTTTTAACATCGTGAGGACAAGATTTAAATATCTATACCAATTTAAGTAGAAATGAACTAAAAGTTAATAGAAGATAAATAAAAGTAATAAAAGTCTCTAATTGACTGACTTCTCTTTGACGGGTGATTTCTACTAATGAATGGAGTATGAAAATTCGTATCTTTAATCTTATAAACAATTACATAAAGTTTTTAAATTTAGTATACATCATCAGGATTAAAAGAATTGAAGGCGCATTGGTACAAGTTTTTCTTAAGTTAACCTGCTATGTTTACTAAATTTTCTTTGTAAAATTCTATCCTTAACGTTCACAATATCTTCATAGCCGGGTAAGAATACTAAGATAGCACCTAAATTGAAAAGATGCCATGGACAGATACAAATGTAACTTATGAATGGCTTAAATCTTAAAAACAATTCATAGATTAGATAGACTATCATTAGTATCAATTATTCTAGTAAAAGAAGTCAATTTATAAAGTGTTACCCTGTCTACATATTATATAGTACCTTTATTATCTTCTTTACAAATATAGGAAATTATATGTGTAATTAAATCATAATCGATCTGCAGCATCAAGAAGGTCAAATAATGTTATGAGAAATATTTATCTTGCTATGGCAATAATATTAAGTACGTTAATGATGTTATTATATTTTAAATTTACTTTTTCTCCTTGGATAGAGTCTGTACATAATTTCAGAAGTGAGTTACGATTGTAATTCACATCCATCACTGAAGGCTTCTCCATACTAAACATAATATCCAGAAAGAGAGGTAAATTAATTTATTTAAATATTAATCCAAAAACTTTCTGTCGAGATAGAACCGAATATATCTTAACGTAAGAATACCTAAATTGATCAAGCTTTTCTACAGCTTCTGGCCGATTCCATTTTAATGCCCAATCTCGTGCTGTCCTGTAAGTATAGGTTAATTTTAAATTATTTTAGGTATTTATTCAATTCAGAGAAACGAAAAGTTGCCTTTGTACCATCCATTGATGGATTTTAAATTAACATTAGCGGATAATTGCAATAGCGATTCAATGGTTGCCAATTTTCCATGTCCAGCAGCAATCATAAGTGATGAAGCGGACGTTTCAGAATGCTGATAATCAACTGTAATATGAATTATAACATTTAAGTAGACATATCAGTTGGTAAGTTTTACGTTGGAGCCACCATCTATTAGTGCGTCATAATTTACCATGTATATGTCCATTTTCTATCATTTCGATGATACCACGAAAGGAGTTATCATCATTCTAAAATTTTAATGAAACACCTTTACATAATACACCTATACTCTAGGTATGGATTGTAGTAGTTTATTATTATTTTAAAATTCTAATAGAGGACGTATACAGTACCTTAATCCAAGCGTTTTCAAGATAATTGTCCATAGCCTGATTAGCATTAATCTAATAATTAGGTGATACACAAGTGTCTTCATGTTAATAAACTTATTATAGGGAGATAGCTAATATTCTAGAAAGAATTTACATTTCCATCATCATTTTCCACTAATTTCTTTTTGTCTTTTACGGCTACGATTGAAATGATTGAAATATTTTAAATATTAGATAGTGTATTTCTAAATTGCAGTAGCATTAACTAATTATATTAAACTTTATCTACTTTACCTTGGTTATCGTTTAATTCTTTATCTTGAACTAAAGCTAGTAGAAAACAGTCAGAAAGTACCATTGTTGCATTTTAATAATCAAGAGAACGCAGCAGTTGAGATATCAGATGCACTTTAATTAAATAATTTAAACATACAGGAACTGGTATCTTGTTTGATGTTTTTAGGGATTAATTTGCTTATATATTTAGTTCTGAAATAGATAAAAATATAGGCCATTTAATACTATTGCTCTATAAGATCTGTTATCTGATGATTTCAAATTACCTTATTAAAATGTCTTCAAGGTACAATTCTTCAACGGGGTATGTATGTCCATCAACTAGTTGCATAATATAATAGATGTAACATAAGTTCAGAAATTAACTAATTGTCTTAATCCTATTACTTTTTAAATTACCTTTTAAAATTGGACAATTGAAAAAGTACTGAGAAAATAGCTTCGAGTTCAGGGTTGCACTTGATAGAATCAACTTTATATTTGATTCTTGTTCGATTAGCTTACGCAGAGTTATGAGCAAAAAGTCACATAGTTTATCCCTTTCGTGTACCTCATCCACAACAATATGGGTTATACAATCTAGGAAAGGTGCTCCCAATGTCAAATATCGTAATAAAATTCCCGTTGTACAATAGAGCAAACAAGTATCAGGGGATATTCTGTCCAAATTGATATATTACATGATTAATGAATTAGTTCCTTGAAAATTTCATATTAAGCTATCATTTTAAACGATAGTCGCGAAAAAATTACATTAACAAATACAGCACTTTAACAAATGTTTGTTTTGAAACGTACTTGCTCTCCAAACGAATTTGATACCCTATCGTTGATCCTATCGGCTCTCCACGTTCGTAAGCAACTCTTTCTGCAACTCCAATTGCTGATAACCGACGTGGTTGCGTGCAAATGATACGACAAGGCTTTCCTGTAGCCTGACCATCTTCCAATATATACTGAGGTATCTACAGTACATCAATTAATAACAATATTACGATAGTACATACACGATTCTTATCCTGTGACCTAAATACTGCAATATTTATTGATGTGGTTAATACAGCATAGAAATCATGAAGTTAAAAGAAGGAATTAGTGTGTCTACCAATAATTTAGTATTGACAATTATTGTCTGTTATTTTATTGAAAAATTCGATGGGCAATAATATCAGTGGGTCTGTACATTTATATAGTTTACTATAAATTAAGATTCAGCTTCACCTGCTACAAAAATATGTAATACGAGTATGTAATGGGTTATATGGGCGCAACATTATCGAAAAGTTATATATATTTTACTATTATTATCATTCGTGGCAGAATCATCGTCCTAATTTGTCTCAACTTGTGAGCATTCAATAATAAAGCATAGTAAAAGTTGAAGATGAAGATAGGGTTTTTACCTGAGTTGTTTTACCGCAACCAGTTTCACCCATTACGATAATCACCTATATTGGTTTAATAGAATAGTTTCATTATTTGTATGATACAGTATGCGTTTTCATAGGCAAATTTGATGACTAACTTGTGTAGAAATATACTATAGATCATCAACGCTATACATACAGTACACGTAAGTAAGTTAGAACAGAAATTCGACAGTAGATTAGCTGCGTAAGTTAACAATTCGATGATGACTTCGATTTTCATGATGTTGTGTCGCAGCAAAATCATAAACAAGATCAGAGATACCACAGTTTTAACAAGTTTTTCTAATTATTTTATCATCGATACTATCCAGAAGTTGTAAGCAAGGTAGAACAGAGATGCGATAGTAGATTAGTCACGTATGTTTACTATTCGATTATCACTATGCTGTTCATCATGTTAAGGCAACGTTATAAGTAAAAATTCGAGATAGTAGAGTCGTATTTGACTGTTTTCTAATGGTTGGATTTGATCACCTATTAGGCTATTAGTATTACAAGAATAATTAAGCTTGTGATTTATGACATGAGTAAAATTCAATCTTTGAAATTATCAATAGGAACCTTTATCTCATGCATAGCTTAATTGTAGTCCTAGATTAATCTAAATTTACTACCTTGTTGGATTGGATCGCTGCTAGAATTTGACTTCTTTGATGAACGATCGGTAATTGATGACGAAGTGATTGTTGTGTTGAATAATGATGTGGGGGAATGCGCGGAGATGAAAATATTAGTTTATGTCCTTGCCCGCTGTAGACAGTCGATTTTATAGCTTCTTCAGGTTGACTACCATGATATTGATCAAGTCCGTGAGGGAACTGACTGATTAAATCTGTAAGACCTTTCTTGGAGGCGCCATTCAGTGTCAATGTTGTAATTTTGGCGTCATCATTCAAGTTTCCAGAACGTCTAACGGTTAAAAACCGTTCTGATCCCCAACTGAGGAAAGATACATGGGTGTATAAATTAGAAAAAAAACATTTCAAGATTACGATAGCATGAAATTGATTTCTACGTAGTATTTACTCACCCTTGACTTTTTGATATTAGACCTAGCGGTTTACAAAATTGATGAATGAAGGCTCTCTCTTCTTTTAGTAACGATGGAGGAAATTCTAGTTCTATAACGATCGTTATGATATCATGATTAGCCGTTGATTAAAAGCAATCAGTTTCATAGTTAGGCTATAACATAATCGTTAACTTGTAATATTTGTTTCGAACTGCATTGCAACTAGATTATGAGCACATTTATCCACTTGGAATGGCGCTATGCATGCAAATATTGATTCATTTGGCTTGTGGCTTGTTTACCTTGTACTGTGTGATCGGCGATAAAATTATTGATCACAGCGCTAATTCGATCCTGTAATTCTTGGCTAATATTGGGTGTCTGATATTTTCGTTTCCTATAGGCCATAATGTGTCCTGTGTAACGCTATTACCCCATTCTACAATGATTTCCTATCTATTTTGCACTCATTTGCAAGGTGGAAGGCTATGTGGAGGAGCCTTGTAAAGATTTGTTGGGCTTCCTGATTGGCAATCTTGAGGCGTTTAAATTTAAATTTATTTAATTTATTTAAAAATTTTTAAAATTTGGGTCTACGAAAATCAGCGGGACAGACACTCCAATCCCCGTTGTCGTTGGTATCGGATAGACGTACATACGCACACTAATGAAAGTGAAAATTCCTGGTAGACGCGTATATCAAAGTGTGATTTAGAGACTTGTAGTAGGCCGGAATTTATCCATTACAATTTAAAGGAATGATTCATGTACATTATGACTTAACCTTAATTTCCAACGCGTATTAGCTTTAGCTGATGTTAATTTCATAAAGTAGAAGCGATAGAGTGAGTGTATGTAGAGTTGGAGACAAAACATTGGCGTTACAACTTTTGAATAGGGAGAGTATAGTTTTTTTGGAAATGCACTAGATTACCAGATGCAATCCCTTATATTATTATTATTTATTAGCTAATGGTTAGTGTAGTGTAAGTGTTATTGCAGGCTTGTAGCTATCTATTCTATCATAGATGATCCATGGATATGTATTAGTTAATGTAGAATGAATTGCACTGTTGAAGGCTAAAAATCAACACAAGATTCCGATCAGATTCGTAGTAGCGAAATGAGCATTTCGCTGTGAAATTTTGATACTGTACAACTCTCTAGTTTACGTGTTATTATGATTGTTGAGCAGCGTGCAAAATAAATTGTTATCCCTTAAGTCTACTTTGGATAGAACGATGTTAAGAATCCACTTCGTTGGGGATGATAGCTCATTTTACACGTAGTATAAAATAGTACCGTTCCTGTCGCTAGTAGTGCTGTTGCCGTTGACAGCATAAGCGTTCGGTTGATTGCTTGCTTTTGATCTCAACAACCCCATAACAATCCTTGATCACAGCACTTTACAGCCAAGTGAAATATCCTTTTATTTCTTTACTACTCTCCTATTGATACACATTGGCAGCTTGGCACAATATTGGGACGTGTAGATACGTATACAAGCACGCATAACTTATACTCATAGTCTAGAACGATGAACACGCTGCCATGGTTTTGAACTTTTACAACAACGTTGTTATAAAGTTGTTGTTACTGAACGTTCAGCTTTGGCCGATGCGGCTTCGATCATTCATAATTGTACTATTAGTCTGTGTTATCGGCAATTTCTTTTTACGTATTCCATTTTATCAATAAAATACGCAGTATATCATTTTATGCAATAAAATAGGCCTGGCAATAGTACTAATTTAAGCAGGAATCCATATAGAATGAAAGCTATACAATATTGAAGAAGATGAATGATTTGTTGGTAGAACGGGTTACTGTAGCTGCTAATAATCTACGCGTCTACAAGACTTTTAATGTTATTTTGGGTGGTGTTCACGACTGGTGTAAAGACGTTTTTTTACTTTTTTCAGTTCAATACTAGACTGCCAATCTGGTAGTCTAGTACCAACAAGATTGGCACAACAACACTGCAGAAGCCATATGTGCGAATGCGCCATTTTGTTGCAGCCATCTTGAGCTCAGTCATAGTAACCCGATCGACTAGGATGACGTAATGTCCCGTAAATAATAACACCTAGAGTATGGATTGTATTTTCAGAGTGTACCGTACTCAGTACTCACGACTTACAGAGTCTAAGTACTGTAATGGCATGAGCTGAGTACAGTAAGTGTGACACTGTTGAACGGTACGTGTTCCAGTTGAAGTCAACGTCAGTAGCTTCACTCGCGAAGGAGAATAATAACACCCTAGTAGTATGGATTGTATTTTCAGAGTGTACCGTACTCAGTACTCACGACTTACAGTATCTAAGTACTGTAATGGCATGAGCTGGAGCAGGTGGACCGTTTTCCTTTTTGGATCAAGTGTGACTGTGTGACACCATTGTACGGTACGTATTCCACTTGAAGTCAACGTCAGTAGCGTCACTCGCAAAGGAGAATAATAACACCGTAGTGTATGGATTGTACATTTTCAGAGTGTACCGTACTCAGTACTCACGACTTACAGTATCTAAGTACTGTAATGGCATGAGCTGGAGCAGGTGAACCGTTTTCCTTTTTTCTATCAACTGTGACACCATTGAACGGTACGTGTTCCAGGTAAAGTCAACGTCAGCAGTGGCACCAGCAAAGGAGAAACCGTTGCCGCCATTGCAAATCTTTATCAATATTGGTGTAAGAAAATTATTTTCAAATCCCCATTTCTTTTACGGTCGTCTATGGTGTTATTGCAATCTAAAGAAAAAGAATTCATAGCAACAAGATGAACGCAATTATAGCAGTCAAGCAATACATCACTAAAATGGTGGATGATTGTGGTTCTGGCATGAAAGTGTTACTCATGGACAAAGAAACTGTAAGTCAATGCTTGTGGTAAAATGAGACATCAAACGGTCCAAATTCACAGCTTAATGGCTTCTTAATCAATTAGTACTGGCCTATCATTTCTATCAGAGTAATCCATTTTGAGTGATGTTGACAAACGCCAAAGATACCTTAAGATAGTCATCCATTTAGAAAGAAATTGTATGGTCAAAAATCAAATTACTTTACTGTACTGCAGTGATACCGTATACCAGACCAGTTCTACGATGCACTTGTTGGAAATATACTCAGTTGGCAGTCAAATAGGATCGTCAAGACGTTCTTCTAACTTTACTGCTTGATAGAAATTGTTTGCCATGTCTTGGATGCTATCAATGACCATCAAGCAACAATCTACATTCCTGTACAGTACAGCTAGCTACGTCTGTTCAATGATCTATCGAATAAATCATTTTTTCAATATCTGGACGTTCCGCTACTGTGTATATACACGTATCTTGGAACGGTGTAAAAACTGAAACTTAATATGAAATTACATAATATCTTCCAACTGGTTTTCTTTCCACTTAGTGCTCGATCGGATTCATATTAAAATAGACAAGCAATCCAATATACTCGTCTTAGTGTGATACAGACTGCCTTTAATTACAGCCTAACAAAACACCAATCCGGCAAAAATAGCACAGTGCAGTCATTTTAATGAGCTTTATAGTAACAGGGTATTTATTGATATTGATTGATTGATGTGTGACCGTAGCAGCCTCTTTTAGACGATGTTCCACTAAAATACATAATTACAGCACTTTTACCAAGCAATTGATTAATTGAAAAACTAGTTTTTCTCTATTCTTTTCTTGCATTATGTCGTTATTGATCATCAAATGTCATATAGATGTATGGAATAACTATATCATTTGGTATAACTTACAACTGATAGATATTGATATTTTACTCATTATGTATGTTTAGACGAGTATTGTTAGTATGGTATATGCTCAATCAGAAATATTACAGAAAGAGGTTTACCTTTTCGAGTCGATCGAACAACCTAATAGAGAAACTATGAAACACTTAAAAGCTATCTGCTTTATCCGTCCCACACAGGTAAGAAGCATCTTCATGTAATGTTGATGGCAATTGTTACACATTACTTGACGAAAATATGTAAAATGAGAATGGTAAAGGTTCAGTTTAATCTTAGTGATTGATTTCATTTGGCCAAATGGATATAAATTAACTATACAGTAGAAGTATGCGGCCATAGTGCCATCGCTTGAACTTCTATACTTAATTCGATCCTAGACTAGCATTGGAAAATTTCGAGCTATACAGGATATACAATTTGTATTGCAAGTGTACTTAATTTTCTCCTAGCTATCATCAAAATTAAAATCACTTATCATGATCATTTTCGAATTACCTTTCGTTATTAGTAGTAATATGAATATTATCAGTTCATTGTTAAATGTCAATCATTACATAGTTAATTTTTTATCAATCCTTACATAGTTTTCGATGATATATTTATCAAATCCGTACGTCTTGCTCGAGCTAATAAATTTTTCCGTAATCTATCCATGACCTATCTGTAGTTAGCTATAATAAATAGTATCTTTGTAATTACTATAAATTGTCCTGACGGAACAGACTGTTAAAATATGTAGGAAGGATCAATGCACTGTATTTTGAGTATACCTAAGCAGTCAAATCACTTCGTAATATTCATAAACATTTCTATCCTATTTAAACTTGGTTGAAATATTCCTGTTTGAATTTTTGTTTTATAGGACAATGTAGAACTGATTCAACAAGAATTACAATCTCCAAAGTATGGATTCTATTATTTATGTAAGTTTTTTGATAAAATTATTCAAATATTATTGTTTAATAGACCTATCTACGTCTGCGTTTATACCAAACAGAAAAATAGGTCTGAATATACTAATAGCGGCACTTAGTAGATCACTATGACGTTAATGGAATTTTAATCTCAACTATTCTGATTATAATTAGACTTTTCAAATCGCCTTGGCAAGCAGGCTCTAAAAGCTATAGCGTCTGCTGATGAACAAGAATTAGTAAGAGAAGTTCAGGTAAATAGAATTTAGTTTTCATGTTATGCTATCGGAAATTTTGCAGACACAGAGTTACACAAGGTTACTTTACAATTATAATTAATCAGTGCTCAATTCAAATGAACTTTATAAATTTAATTTTACCTTCTAAGTAATAAAATTATTAATATTAGTACGCATATTTAGTATTGTCGCCGTTATAAAAATAATAAACATTTTCTAAACAGATAATTTGTAATTCTTTTGATATAGGAATTTTATGCTGATTATTTTGCTGTAAACAAGAATTTATTCACTTTAAATATACCCTGTTGTTATCAGGTATAAAACATATCGTAATGATTCTGTTATTACACAGTAGTATGTACTATATTGTTCTTGGGTTTAAAATTAGTTAATCCATGAAATTATTATTGTCAAGACTAATCTTTATTTGATTTAATTTCTTTAGAATATGTCATGGAAGCGTGATAAATTAGATAGATCGATTGAAGGAATAGCTGCATTGCTTCTATCGTTAAAGAAAAATCCCGTCATAAGGTTGGTCTATTCCTTCTCGCTTTATAGTTTGTAAACTTAGTTTGGACATATTTTGACGCTTCTGATTCTATAATGATGTTAAAGATTGTAATAAAGTCTACCAGAAATCGATTTAAGTTACACGCCAATATCAAACGCATCTTTAGATGTTTACCGCAATAATTTCATAATGCATTTTAAAAAAAGTCCATAGTTCATGTAAGTTTCATTATCGTGACTTTCATGAATCGTTTTATCTAGATATCAGCAATCTTCCGATAATGCTAAACAAGTTGCGGAAGGACTTAAAGTAAGAACCATCTGAAATTGTACACGATGAACGTAATCATATCGACCCGTGAGCTAATGATAACATTAAATTCTTTAGAGATTAATAAATAAGGAAGGCGCGCTGTTTGACTTTCGCAAAAGCGATGTTGCACCTGTATTGATCATTCTTGATCGTAAAGAAGATCCTGTCACCCCAATATTGAATCAATGGACTTATCAAGCTATGATCCATGAATTGTTAACTATCCGTAAAAATGTCGTTGATTTATCTTATGTGCCTGGTATAAGTAAGGAATTGAAGGTTAGTTGTCCTTACCACAATTGTTACATTACGTCACAGTAAACAATATCCTTCTTAGTATGGCTAAGTGTTATGTTATATTTCTTAGCAACTGATTTTTTCTGGTGAACAAGATGAATTTTACGACAAGGTAGGAATTTCCTCTTTCTTTACCTACTTTTCGTCCGGTATACGGTTTTAGCCTAGATGTGAATACGTAGAATGTATTGGTATTGTTTAATCATTTGTACAATTTATTAGAATTTATATAGAAATTTTGGCGAAATTGGACAAAACATCAAATCTCTGATGGAAAAATTTCAGGAAAAATCGCAGCGTAGCCAAAAATTAGAATCTATTGCTGATATGAAGGTTTGCTGTTTTTTAGAAATAACACTACGATGACGTTTTGTTGTTTACAACATCATTATAGATTTTAAGGCAAATTCGCTCTTATTGTGCGTTACCTTTTCAGGCCTTTGTAGAAAGCTACCCAGAATTTAAGAAAATGTCAGGGACTGTTTCTAAACATGTTACTGTTGTCAGTGAACTATCCAAAATTGTTACTGAGCAAGATTTGCTTGCATTATCTGAAGTTGAGCAAGAAATTAGCTGCCAAACATCACACTCTAATGCTGTTGAGGTAATTGTGATATTACGGAAAATACCCATAGGCAATAGCGGACTTCGAATTACACTTCGTATTGATGTATAAATTCAATTATCTCTATTGTAAAATATGCCATTCCTTTCTCTTGCAGATGATAAACAAAGTACTACATAATGAAAAAGCAACCGATCTAAATCTTTTACGAATAATCTTGTTATACGCTCTTCGATATGAACACCATAGTGGCAATCAGTTACACAGATTTTTGGACGTTTTATCTCGACGCGATTTTCCTGATCAGTACAAGAAGGTATTTTTCATATTCTTTAACATCGATTGAAGTTTATTTCTATTTTAATCCTTCTATTTGTAATGATTCGGCTTTTGCAGGCCATCCAAGCTGTCCTTCAATACGGTGGTAAAAAATCGCGTGGTAGCGATATTTTTGGCGGTAACACTCCTCTGTCTATTACCAAGAAATTCTTTAAGGGGCTAAAAGTAAAATATTTTGTTATATTTGGTCTTTCTTCTTCCCATTTAATGAATTACTGTATGCTACTACAACAGATATTATGCTAATCTGTCTGCAATGCTATTCAGGGTGTAGAGAATATTTACACACAGCATACACCTCTAGTTCAAGATGTATTGGATTCCTTAGTAAAAGGGAAGTTAAGTGACGGGCAGTATCCGTATGCTACTGGTTCTCCTGTTAGAGATAGGTTTGTCACGCATGGGGTATTTAAAAATGTTTTTCCCTAAAATCTTTGTTCCTTGACATGTCATTTTTTTGCCGTATTTAAGGGTTCAAGATGTTATCATATTTATAGCAGGTGGAGCTACTTATGAAGAGGCGTATTCCGTACAGAATTTTTGTAGCATTAATCAAGGAGTTCGTGTTCTTCTTGGGGGTACCTATGTTCACAACTTTAAAAGGTTTGTCAAATATTATATTTCTTGAATTGTACTTCATTAAAGTAAAATTTTTAATTTTGTGATGATAATCTATAGCTTCCTAGAAGAAGTTACAGCGGCCTCGCAACGTGCTACTGATGGGCTTAAATGGTAATACAGTAAGAGCTTACAGTATAGTTTTATACTGTAGTGAAACCATGGCATTTGTGTTGTAAATATTCTGCCTACAATATTATCTCAGTACAGAATCATCAGCGCGCGGACAAACTGTTAACGTTCAAATGGTCAAACAGATGATATTTTAAGCTATCGTATTACTGTATTCATAACATGTTTGGATTTCCGTCATGTTGCTTCGCTATGTATGGTAGTAACTGTTATGTATTGATATTTTTACGGTAAGTATAAAATATCCAAGATTTCGATAACACTGAAATGAGAAATCATCATGATGCGACTCGTTCCGTGGTTAACATGCAAATCAAAAATTGGCAATAGCGAGGAAGTTGAATCGCGGATATTACAAGATAAATTACTCGCTAGTCATAGGAATCTTTATTAAGTTTATCATTATCAACAGCGTTCAAATTGCAGATCTAAATATAATGTCAAGACTGTTTGAAATGCTCTACATTTGATAAAATTATAGAAATAGCCGTTCCAGTACCATACAGACTACTATTTGAAATATATAATCTGCTTGTAATCTATTATCTCGTTGTAACTTTTCGATAGAAATTCTATTTAGAGAATATTAAATCGCTTGTAATATACAAATTTTGGCGATTGTCGCTACATAATGCTAGTATGAAGATTATGATATATTATCATTATTCTGGTACAATATTTCTGTAGGATCTGTAATATATGCATGAAATAAAAAATATATTATTCATTTTATTCATCAATAACATGGTCTCTCTTCGTTTGCCTGTAAATTTGACGTAATTAACCTAGTGATCTTGTTGTACTGTACCGATTAGCAAATTTCTGATTCTGCATAGATTACATTGTAATTTAAAACGAGTCTTAATAATCTCAATTTCCAAATTGGTCTTTCTTCCCGTCCGACCAGTTTATACAATTACTATTTATAGCGATAAATAAAAACTTATTAAAGTGTAATATAAAAATATTACATGAAGGCTTGAAATACGTCCAAATCAGAATTGAACACGTAAGCTTCTTTCCCGTTGATACTAAAGAACTGGTATCATCATTAATCCTCGTTATTTTATTCGCTCTGCGTTGTTCTTTACTTGATAAGTTTTATAGTAATCAATTTTTTATACTACAGTGTCATGCATTCACAGGATATTCTGTCGATATCGAGGTAGTAGGATCAGCTGTTAGTCAATCTCTAAATTAAAACTACTAGTATAATGACTAAAGCGACGACGAGAATGTTGCAAATTGATTAATTTGTATCTGTACACTGTACAGTCATCGAATTTCGCTCGGACGAAAACCTACTTCAATCATTGCGTTACACATATACTATCAGTAATATGCAGGTACACAAGATCCAAGTGTGCTATTTCTAAAATGTTAAATCAGTTAATTTCTTAGATTACGCAATTCACAAGATAACATGTAATTCAACTTTATTAAGTTGTTAATCACTCGTAGAACCCAAATAGTTTGATACTTTGTCGACTCTTAGCTTCTTATGCTTACATTACTTTTAATGATATTCCGATAAGGGTAGTTACTGTAATGCAAATACACATTCAATACAATACGTATGTTACATATCAATATTTAATATTATGCGTAGAATAAGGCTAATTAGATCTTATTAGTTGTATATAGTTCGCGAACTACTAGTTATGGAATTAAAATGTTAAACGTATATCAATTTCGTATTATCCTATTAGAAATCGTTATAGTAGTGTCTTATTGAAGTAACATTATATTAAGTTTGACATAATACGAAAGAGAACGCAAGCAGGTATTACTGAAATCGTAATGGTTGTTACGTAAGAAGCATGAAATAAATCTATAGGATGAGGCGACACATCAATAAAAGTTAGTAGCACTTTTCTTTGATTTTCTGCTTATTCCTTTCTCTTTTTTTCCTAAATTAATTTTGTTAAAAGAGTTTTAGATTCGAATTACTGTAAGTATAACATAAAGTACGATAACAAATTGATTTTTATCATAGAAATGTAATTATCACTTACTCTGTTGTTATTTTTAGCCAGAATTATAAGGATCTGACGGAAAATGTTAATAAAGTCCAGGAAGAGATCGACTGAATGCCTGTAAGATTAGAAGGTTAATATTATTTTTAATTATTTACATATTACAAAATTAAGTTTTCTTTACGATATCATTTCAATTTAAGTGCAATTACCAGATATAATCCTGGTCTCCCTGCTGGAACTTATATACGATGAGCTGAGTATCGTATAAAACAAAGCCACACATGACGAACAAGACCATATATAAATTAATCTAAAATAGAAAAGATAGCAAACAATAAGAATAACATTTAGTGATTGTATTACTAACTACGCTCATTTGGTCTACTATAACGAAAGTCCTAATACAATTTGGAGTTGGTGGAACTACATAAAATAAGTGATATATCTAGATATTGGTTCAGAAACAACTTTTGGTATCGATGACTCTTGTGTCGACCTATAACCGGTTTAAAACAACTTGGGATAACTGGAATATACTTATTACATCTCGTTATATAATAAACGTACATTGAACAGCAATTGTGATCCCAGAAAGATGTTTAGAAAACCAAGAAAGCATAATGTCGATAGTAATGACATGAGGGTTCCTAAGAAACGCGAAAATTTATTGTTAAAGTGCTACTAATTCAAAGAGTCAGTAATTCTGTATTACAAATATTGCGATTGTATCATGCGTTCATACCTCCCATGTATAAGTACTTGCGTTCTTCAGCCCATAAGGCAGAAAGGGTAAATCCAACAAAGATTAAAGTTGTTGCCAAGAACGCAGTGGGGATAATACTTTCAAGCAAAATGAACAGTCGCACTAATTAGTCGATTATTACTCAATGGAAGAGCAATAAAATGTCGATTATACGTAGTAGAAATTTTATGGAATGGTAAAAGAATTTACCTTGGATCGATTTCCAATACAATTTCAAGAAGAGGTCCAAGTCCTAAGCCTACAATAACGATTCAATTACATTTAGCGTTCAATAATTATAATGGTCTAATAACAAATGTAAAATTGCAAAACAGAAGCAACAGTATAACATACGAGATATCTTCAAATAAAAAAATTTGTATATTCAAAATACGTATCATACCAGCTGTTAAGGAAAATCCACAAAGATATCCTGTAACACAAGAAAGATTCATAAGTAACTAATATGTAGCAGTTGAACAGTCGGAATAATTTTACGAATTATAGTGTTTGATCAATTGTACGAAGATATAACATAAAATATTAACATATCGTACCAAGACGTCTAAGTTGTGTTTTTCCACCATCGTGTGGTGTTATACCGAGCAAAAGAAGGAACCCAAGAGACAGTATACAGCTTAAAAGTCCACCCTGTAAAAGAAGAAGGCGATTATTGTATTCTAGATGATATGCTTTGTAACATTGGACAATATTTCGTTTGTAACGATTAACACCAACGGTTAAAAAATTTGCATATTATAATAAGGGACAATGGTAGTTAAAGAAACGATGTTTCACCTTTGAGCATTTCCTTTCTATACTAACGCAGTGTTGATTAGGAAAATTTAGTATATACCGTATCGATCATAATTTTAATGCTGCAATACAGTTGAGAAGAGCATTTGAGTATAGTGTATCTACAGTATTGCAGTATTTAGCACAATTATTGTGTCGAATTCTCTTCGTAATGTATCATGGGGATAAAATGCGCATCAATCCGTACGATAATCATATATTTGAGGCAAAATTGTGATGATTCGCGTAGATGACATAAAATAATAATATTACATTCATTTTGAAAACAACAGTTGCGCAAACGGTATAAACCTACTAATTACTACCGCTTGATTTAAGATCGTTCGTTAATAAGGATTAGACCGAACCTTTCTCAGGTCTACTATTCACCGTATACTAAGCTATGACTGAATTTAAGAAGCCTATAGAGTCATAGTAAGATAATGTAGCTATGTATTTTCTTTTCATGTATTGCTTTGTGTAGAATATGTAGCCGTTCATTTGAACGGGAAATTTACTAGTAGCATTAAAATTTACCTTTATGAAGTTGAAGTACAAGTGGACCATTGAACCTGCTCCAGCAGCAATCATGGAGATAATTAGGCAAGAGTAAACACTCTTTAGATGCTTTTTTGAACCGGCATTACTGTAATTAATAAGTATAATCAATGACACCATTACGATAGTAGAAAGATGATAAGTTAAAGTGAAATCAAGTCGAGACAAATCACTTTTTATTCCAATTGATAGGCTACAAACAAAGTTGATCTATAGCGGATTCATTTCTTACGCGATCGAATCCTGTACAGTAAAGTATGCGTTGATACGCATATGTTATAACAAGAGTAAGCAGCCGATGGATGCTTTAATCGCTTCATGTTGTGCTTATTCTGTATTGTGGTACATACTGTACTCTATATATTTGTACTGTATCATTCGTCTGCGGATAACAGGTGTTCCATAGACTTATTACGCTAGATATTGCTCTAGCAGTTCAAAGTCTGTAATCCAACCACAACTTTGATCAATTTTGGTCACTTATGAATGGATGGATGCTTCATGTTTTACTTCTCCTGTGTTGTGGTACATACTATACTGTATCATTTGTCTACGGATAACAGGTGTTCTATAAACTTCTAGGCTCAATATCGCTGGAACAGTTGAAGTTTGTCATCCAAGCACAACTTTTTAATTTTGGTCACTTTTACTGTACTGTTTGAAAACAAAACTTTAGCATCAATATGTATCTTCATTGGTCAATAAACAACTACTCAAATTGACCGTATAATAAGCAGAGTGGCAATCTTTGATATAACGACATTGTCGGTCGATTTCCAATGATCAAAGTCCTCCTTTACGATTGAACATTTCCATCATTTACTTTGTAGAACAGTTACCTAAACTATTTTGGATTTTTGGGTGATGAGAAATCAACAGATACGCAAACAGAGATGTATTTCTAGTGACTTTGTATAGAACGAAGGCTAGTAGTGGAGTAGAAAAAGCCTTTGGGCAGATGGGCACTTTTTTCCTATCGTATCAACATGGTACAAGTTTCTCTATACAACAGTATAAGTCCCTTGCCACTGTACGGTACCGTATAGATCCATTTAGGTGTGTGACGCATTGGATCGAGGCCATTTTTCGCTACCGAGTCAACTGACTCCGTTGTTGCCTATGTGTTTGAAACTTTGACCAGAATATAAGCTTTTCTATTGGCCAGTAATAGAAACCTATTTATGTACTCGAGTCTGAACTATCTACTTGCAAGTCAAGTCGTCAATCAACATCTCGCCAACTCCATTAACTTCCAGTTGGTAGAAATGATGGCGACTGACTATGTAGTTGATTTCAAAGCTAGGCCTATAAATTTTTAGTCCTATCCTGTACTAAACCTCTAAACTGCTCAATGATCCATTTTTCCTTGACATGATGACCTACAAGTGAGTCCATTTTGAATGTCAACACGACTTGATTGTACGGCTCCCACTGGTCAAGTTATGGACGGCAAGTTGAATCGAACTGAGCGACGATTGATGATCATGTTTGCATCCATAGATGAAGGAAAAGAGCCTCCTTGATGCTTTACTTACAGTCAGTAAAGTATACCATCGAATGTAAATTCAGAAGAGATTGTACAACAGAATTGAAATGATAGAATCATGTCGGTTAATACTATAGCCCAACTGCTACGATTAGGAATATTGTTGACGGACTGGCTTTGGCATCATTTGGTCAAAGAACAATATTATCATTTTGCAGCCGTTGGTGCTCTATCATACAGTGTTTCTAGAAGTCCTCTACTTGTACACTTTCCTTGACTCAAGAATAGTATAGGCCTATTGCTCTATACACTTTTGGATAATTTTGGTGACACGACACTTCCTCTTCATCGCTAGCTCTTCTAAGGTATCGATCGTGCTATCGATCGTCCTGCAAGTTACCTATATTACTGTACAGTACACTATTCAAATGGACACTTTACAAAGTGTCTACTGTAGGTATACAATCCAATAGATAAAATCGATCTATTACATGAATATTACTGCAACTTACAGATTGGAGAAAGTAGTTAAGGCTTTCAAATTGATAGGCCTTTGGCCGAAAACGGCATCCATGTTGGAAAGTATTGAAGTGTAGAGAAGCTTTGAAAGGTAACAAACTCGATTGGTGTTTAGCCAGGCCAGGGCCAGTGCTGACCTTAATATACTGTACAGTGTACACTACAGTACAGTACAGTACTGTCGAGTGGCACCGACTGGCCCATAGACTGACCACTCCAAGTCATTACTTACAGTTGAACGTGTACTACGCTTGTGTGGCTGACGGAAGCCACACAAGCGTGTCAACAACTCTAGTGTACAGTACATCATACTGTAAAAGAAGAGTGTACTGTGCACTGTGCGGTTGACACAGTACTGTACAGTACAGTACTGTACTGTACAAGACGACTACTTGTGGGCTTGTGGCTGACAGAAGCCACACAAGCGCGTCAACAGCTCCAGCGTACAGTATATTGTACTGTAAAAGAAGAGTTTACTGTGCACTGTGCGGTTGATACTGTACAGTGTACAGTACAAGACGACTACTTTCGGTCGTGGCTGGTACCACGTAGGCATTAGCTCGTCAATCGTTAGCAAAACTAATGTCACTAAATACCTCTCGATTACTCTACTACTTAGCTAAGAAATGACCTCTGTAGGTGACATTATTTTGGGGACTCCACAGTGACTAAAAGAAGGAAAAAGTTACATCATGCCAATGCGAAAGGACTTTTCTAGTGCAGTATGTAACAGTACAGTACAGTACAGTATGGTACAGTACCTTACCGTAATCCATACTTAATAATCCATACTGAGGCTGCAAGTCTGGAACGCTTCATCGTACCACTGCTCACCACAGTAGTCAACACGGTTACACATAGTCAGCCTTCGACATTTCTGCCAATGGCCTGCCGTTGTACTGTACAGTACAGTAATTGGTTAAGGAAATTGCCAGCTTCTCGCCATCGAAACTTCACTGTCGTCTACAAGACACTGCCAAAATCAGTAAGCAAATAGTTGACCTTGTGGTTGCTTCGTCATCGACTCGTTGCTATAGTACGTCGTAAGCATACCAATACCAATATGAAAATGACCAAGAAAATCATTGACCTTATAATAGCTATGTCATGTACTGTACATCGTAAACATGCCATTGCCAATATGAAAACGACCAAGAAAATACTTGACCTCATACTTACTACGTCATCGAATCGTTGCTATAGTACGTCGTAAACATGCCATTAGTAATATGAAAATGACTAAGCAAATAATGGACCTTCTAGGTACAATGTCACGAATCGTGGCTATAGAACAACGTAAACACGCTATCGGTAATATGAAAATGACCAAGAAAATTGTCAACGTTATATTTACAAGGTTATCCAGTCATGACTATAGTACGTCGTAAACACGCCATCAATAATATGGAAATGACTAAGAAAATAGTTGACTTCACAGTGGCAACGTCATCGAATTATTGCTATAGTATGTCGCAAACATGCCATCGCTAATATGAAAATGACCAAGAAAATACTTGACCTCATACTTACTACGTCATCGAATCGTTGCTATAGTACGTCGTAAACATGCCATTAGTAATATGAAAATGACTAAGCAAATAATGGACCTTCTATGTACAATGTCACGAATCGCGGCTATAGAACAACGTAAACACGCTATCGGTAATATGAAAATGACCAAGAAAATTGTCAACGTTATATTTACAAGGTTATCCAGTCATGACTATAGTACGTCGTAAACACGCCATCAATAATATGGAAATGACTAAGAAAATAGTTGACTTCACAGTGGCAACGTCATCGAATTATTGCTATAGTATGTCGCAAACATGCCATCGCCAATATGAAAATGACCAAGAAAATACTTTGACCTCATACTTACTACGTCATCGAATCGTTGCTATAATACGTCGTAAACATGCCATTAGTAATATGAAAATGACTAAGCAAATAATGGACCTTCTAGGTACAATGTCACGAATCGTGGCTATAGAACAACGTAAACACGCTATCGGTAATATGAAAATGACCAAGAAAATTGTCAACGTTATATTTACAAGGTTATCCAGTCATGACTATAGTACGTCGTAAACACGCCATCAATAATATGGAAATGACTAAGAAAATAGTTGACTTCACAGTGGCAACGTCATCGAATTATTGCTATAGTATGTCGCAAACATGCCATCACTAATATGAAAATGACCAAGAAAATAGTGGACCTCATGTTTACGACGTCATGAAATCGTTGCTATAGTACGTCGTAAACATGCCATCAGTAATACGAAAATGACCTAAAAAATAGTGGATGTTATGATTATCACGTCATCGTATGGCTGCTATAGTACGTCGTAAACATACCATCTGTACTATGAAAATGACCAAGAAAATAGTGGACCTTACCATTACATCGTCATGCTATGGTTGCTATAGTACATCGTCAACACGCCATCGGTAATAGGAAAATGACCAAGAAAATACTAGACATTACGATTGCAACGTTATGAAATCATCTCTATAGTACGTCGTAAACATGCCATCGATAATATGAACATGACCAAGAAAACAATTGACCTTAGAATTGCTACGTCATGGAATCGTTACTCTACTACATCGAAAACACGCCATCGCCACTATGAAAATGACCAAGAAAATAGTGGATTCTACCATGCTTGGAATATATGACAGCACAGGAAATGATCGCTACGTCATCTAGACCCTCGTCATTTCGTAAACACGCCATAGGCAATAGAAAAGATCAAGCTAGATCGAGACTGAGGCCTACCGGTAGCCGATCCAAAGACATTTCGGCCCGAACCGGACCGCTGACACCCCCCCCCCCCTAATCCAAGTCGACTACGCGCTATCATATACCCTCAACACGAGCACAGATCCATAGTCAACGATAGTAAGACAAACCATCAGCCTCAGCCTATTTTTCTTCGTCAAATGATTGATACTGTAACTGGATTTCAATCACCCCTCCCCCACAAATCACAAATTGCAGACGATCAAGCCATGATGGAGAATTGCCATCATTACTACCAATCTTTTGCTAAAAACAGTTTTACTGTCATTCGCCAATTATTATCCGATGGCTATTTATGTGATGTCGAGCTGCACATCGGCCAATGGCAATTCCCTTGTCATCGATTAATTTTAGCATCATTTAGCTCGTATTTTCGTAGTATGTTTACATCCAATATGATCGAAACAACATTACATCATATTACCATTCATGAAGTGGACCAACAAGCCGCTAGTATGTTAGTCCAGTATGCTTATAATGGAGAATTAGCCATCACGAAAGATAATGTTCAAGCACTTTTGGAAACTGCTGTCCTATTCGATGTACCTGATGTCATGGAAGCTTGTAGCCAATTTATGAGCAATCATATTGATATACAAAACTGTATTAGCATTTATAATTTTGCTGGATTCCATCATCTAACAACATTATCCAATTATGCAAGGAATTATATCTTGGAGAATTTTACTGATGTCTTTCAATCCAATGAAATACAATATTTATCTGAAGATTATTTAATCCAATTATTGAAACATTCCAAATTAAATGTTCAAAATGAGATGCAAGTTTATTCTGCGGTCAAAAAGTGGATCAATTATGATTATGATGAGCGAAAATTAGCTGCATTCAAGTTACTCAATCATGTCCGATTTGCCATGATACCACGTCAGCAATTAATACTATTGACTAAAAATGACGATGAATTAATTAATCTTGATCAGCATTGTCAACATTTAATCAATCAAGCTCTTCGCTTTCAGCTTTATCCAAAGAAAGTTCAAAACATTGAAACCAAACCAAGAGAATCTTATTCAGGCTTATTATATGTATTTTCTTACGCTGATGTTTACAGTCATTATAATACTGTCGAATGTTTTAGTTATAAGCACCAAAAATGGATAATTGTCCATGATGCACCCAAAAAATTAATGTCAGAAGACTTTGCGGTAACGGCCAGCGAACAAAACCTTTATACCTTATCTGGCAATCGTAAGTATCATTGCATAGGCTGTATTTATATTTATTTGAATGAGTTCAAACGTCTATCATTTAGTGTCACCAACTTATGCACAGTATTACATCTTATGTATAGATGAAATTATTACCTTACATATCAAGTCAATGAACTACAATAGCCAATTTTGTAATAATACGCTAGACGATTCATAGATCTTTGATCATGGATTATACATAGTTATCGCTTGATTAGTAACTACATGCGATACAATATTAGCTCAAGCAGATCTGAAAAGTGCACTATAATAATAAAAAATAATACTATAAGTAATTTTTGGGGTAGTACCAAAAAAATAGGCCAATTATTGCATACATATACAGTACACTCACTACAGCTGTGACTAGTTTTACTGGCAAATATTTTTAATTACACTTATGGAAATGAGAATAGCATAGTACGTATTCATGGTAATCAATTGCAACATTTTACAATGCAGTAACTTTCAATGTTGAACCAATACATACTTACTAGTCATCGACTAGTAAGTAAACAAAAGCTATAACTATTTATATCTACCGTATTTTACCCTTGCTCTTTACAAATTATTTAGATAAAACTAGCCATATTATCTCCAATCAGATGTCTTGTTATGATGTTATTACAAAATCTTGGTCTGCTTTTCCATCAGTTCAAACGCCACGTTTAGAAGCAAGCATTTGTTACTTAAATCAATTATTATTTGTTATTGGTGGTTATAAAATTGACTATAATCGATATACTAGATCATCACGAATTGCTGAGTCCTATGACACTGACACAGGTTTATGGACTGCACTATCGCCTATGAACGAGAAACGCTTCGGTGCTGGCATTGCAACTATGGATGGCTTAATCTATATTGTTGGTGGATTGTCCTATGATAGCAGTAGTACCATCAATTTCTTAAATAGTGGCGAATATTATAATCCTAAAGATAACACTTGGACACCTATTAGAAATATGAATTATCATCGTTACAAGCTTGGCCTTGTCGCCTTGAATGGTTATTTGTTTGCCATTGGAGGAAAAAGCTACGACTTTGAATGTGGTAATAGTTTTGTAACTAATTCAGTTGAAAGATACGACCCGGAAGCAGACGAATGGATAGAAATTACAGCAATGTCGGAAAAAAGATTTGCTGCTGGTGTTGCAACAATGGGAGGACGAATATGGGCCATAGGAGGTATGCTTGCAAAATTGAAGTGATGCTTTCAGCCTTAGCATCTGGTTGTGATTGATCAACCTAATTGTGATAACATGTGCAATAACGTGATTTACATAGTATACGCGTGCATCAATAATAGGATAATTATATCAATTACACCATTTTATTGATACATTAGGAAAGTGCGATGAAGACAATGCTTTGGACTCTGCAGAAAATTACGATCCAGTTAGTGGTGAATGGGAAAGTATTCCGCCCATGTGTAATAAAGGATATAACTTATGTGCAATTAGTATTCAGCATAAAATTTTTATTTCGTGACGTAATTTGCTTGTTGTAGTCAGTAACATGGGAGTATTTTATCATATTATTATATGCAGTTTATCGATAATGATGTACTAGATTGTAAGATGGATTAAACTAAGGCTAAATATTATTGTAATATATCATTAATATATAAAGTTATTGGAGAAAAAATCGCATTTACGTACGTATTTGAAAATATTTTATCGATTTCTGTTTCGTAAATGTACCGAGTATATGTTTGTGCGTCATGCTTCACAGTCTTTAAAAATCGCTTTTATAAAGTTTCAAGCTGTTCATTCTTGCATACATAAAACAAAATATAACTTTAACTACATACCAGTGAATTTTTAAAAATATGTTAGGACATAGATGATTATACGAAATGTACAATAAGAAATTTTTCTAAATCCAAAACCAAATAAAATTATGTTATCTACGGCATTCGTAAATATTCCTTGTGCATGAAATGACCGCATGATGTGTATGGATACGGAGATTAGTCTTCCATTACATACGATTAAATGGTATTAACGAGACTAGTTAAAGAATCAAGAATAAAAACACAATATACGTATCTATGATTTTTCTGTATGCTTTCCATTATCATATACAAGAAAAGATATATTTTAACGTTCAACAGCTGACAATGTAATTTAGAAATCCAAGTAGACGATTACGGTTCACTATAAGGTACAGCACTATGTTGTAATTGTTGATCTTTCATACAAAGAAAGTCCTACTTTACCAAATCATGATATACAGTACAGTACAACGAATTACAATAGCTATAGGCACATTGCACAGTATTTGATATGCTGAACGACTAATATTTACAAGACAGTAAATGACTAATCGATGCATAGAGTGATTAAAGATCATAAACTTTCCTTGATCATAGAGGCTGTTATCGATACAATAACTAAGAAAGTAAATTATTCCTCGCAAGTCTGACGAATCTGTAGTATACAAATATCTTGTAAATTATAAAAGCACAAGTTATTTTATACGCATATATTTAAAATATCAAACCCAATGGATTTATAATTGAAAGAGCCCAAATTGAAAGATAATTCTTTACGACAGCCTGTTCAATCTTCATCAGCTTTCTTTTTCTTCGATTTTTTTGTCTTCTTTTTCGACTGAAAACAATGCCAATAACATTGAAAATAACAAGATTTAGCTAACTGTGACAAAACTTCATTAGAATAACTCCAGAAAACGCAGTATTATTTGTGTATACAATTTCTTTGTACAAAATAGGGATAATATTTCAACCTTTGAAATAATGTATCCTTGTCTCCTAGTTTATTCTTACCTTGGAAAGAAAAGTCATTTTACGTTTATTTAATTCCCTATTCCGTCCAAAGTTACTTTCTTCTAAACGCTGTCATTAATCAAATAGAAATGAATCCATTTATTACAACAAATTCTGTTATAAATAGTCAAGTTACTGAATATTGGAAGACAGCTATAGCACAAAGTAATTTGTAGTTTGATATAGATTATACAAAACAATAAAATCTCATACAACATCAATTTCTTTGCGCAACATCGTAACGATGTTAAGAAGTTTTAAAACATCATGTTCATCCACTTCATATTTCAATAGCTTTACGTTGGTGGTTGTTTCAATATTATGAATCCGATTAACATCATACTGTGTCATAAGGGTTACAGCCATACCCTTCTTTCCTAGTAGTTATGCAAAAAAAATAAAATGAAGGGTTAAGTGTAAGAGATAATAGGTGCAGCCCTATAACTACAAGTCGAGATAACACAAATACGACTCTCGTGCCTATGACAAACCTGCACGTGCAGTACGGCCAACACGATGAATATAATCATCTGCAGACAATGGAACATTGTAATTCACTACCGCTTCGACGGTTGGGATATCTAAACCTCTAATAAAACACATTATTGAAAAGGTTGTAACGCAACTGAATCTTTTATATTATAAAAGTCTACATCAGCATCTCGATGGATAATAATTATTGATACAATAACATTTATCTTGCAAACCTGCTTGCAACGTCTGTAGCAACCAAGATCTTTAATAGGCCATTTTTAAATCTAGCTAGTGAACCTAACCTTTGACGCTATAATTGTAAATAGTAATCAAGTTATTTCTTAGTGCAAGCCGTCTTCTAGCGACCCAACGATCTTAATTTGATTATGCTGCTACAGTTGCAAATCTTAAATAAGATAACTTGTAGAGAGAAAAGATTAATGCATTTCTAAGAATAAATAAGCTATACTACGCATCTACGTTGGGCAGTTTATATATTTATTTTAGAAAAACTTTCACAAGAATGCAGTCACATATTCCATGGAAAATTTATGGCACAAGCTATACATTAGAGTATTTAATTATATGCTTACTTGAGGCATAAGAGAATGTAAAGCAGCACAAGAAAATTCTAAGCGGGATAACATGATGGCAAGAATTTGGCAACTTCTACGATTTGAAAAATTGTCTTGTTTAATATCACTGAAGCTACCGTATGTATGATCTGTTCTATTCACAAATTAACCAGATAGCTATCATACTAGCCTACAAGTACTAGTAAATATCATCATATTCCAACGTGGGTTCTTTTCTAATTCTAGAGATAATTGTTTAATCAAGTAAACAAAGTAACAGTCCTTTACCTAAGAATCAAAAGTCAAAAGTAAATGAAATGACACCTATTAAGCTTAGATTCAGACAAATAAGCAAAGGAAAAAATATTTTAATTTCAGTTCACTACATATAATAATAGCTTCATAGGATTTCAATGCTAATTATACTAACCACAGCAGGCATGAGCAGATAATGTTGGTCTAGCTGTTCTACAGTCGCAGATATTTTCATATCCGTATCTTCATAAATGAATGGTTTCTTTGACGCTGCTACTTCTTGGGCTCTGGCCATAGCATTGGTCATTGTAGCACTAAATAATAACGTCTGGCGATCTTCGGGTAAGATTTCAAATATTTTACCTAAATCAGGCCCAAAACTTGCTTCCAACAATCTATCAGCTTCGTCTAATACCTTGGAATAGATAATCGGTACAAACCTAATTAATACTTGATTAAAGTGACAAAAATTCGATTGATTTAATATCAATAATCTATCAGATGTACTTGATAGTTACATACAAGGAATTTAATCTTGGAGAAGTGTACTTTGCTATCATTATCAATTAGGTCGGCCAGTCTTCCAGGTGTTGCTATTACTATATGAGGCTTTTTGGAGAGCGCAATGCTTTGGCTGATAATATCTAACGTGTCAACAATGAAATTAATCCAAATTTTTAATCAGATATTGCCCATTATTTTAGCGTATGCAATACAGTGTAGCAAAGCGTTTGGTACTACCCATACGTGTAGTATAGGCTTAACTAGTATAAGAATAATTTTGTTGAAGGCTTGCAGTAAAGCTAAATCAATAAATATGAAGTGAAAAATGGTACTCGTAAAGTCGTATAGTTATTATTTGTACCTAGTCCGCCAATGACGATTGCATCTCTCATCCCAATGGGTTTGCCAAAAGCGCGAAATTGGTCAGCAAGTTGAAATGCAAGCTCCCTACAAGCAAAGTTGATTAACAATGACGTAATACGCGTTCATATAGTCATATTTAGCACTTTTACTGTTTTACATTGTGATAAATGCATGCAATATGAAGATTATTTTATCGCATAATTCATTGCCATTCACACAATTATTATATAAAGAAGACTACGTATCCTATACATCAAAATACGATGATGTTGTAGTTACAAATACTATTAAACGGATTATTTTATGATCATTATACGATTTATTGTTATCCATATGACTGCAATACAAGCAGTGCTACACATCATGTTGATCGAAACAGGATGATATTGTAACTTTACTAATTTGTAAGATATTAAAAATTATACAATTACTATAATTATGCAAAAGGAGCTAACAAGGGCTGCGATATATACTTAGAGTAAAGTTTTCATCAGACCTTGTGGGAGTTAGGATTAAGGCATAAATTCCGAACGGTTCTTTAGCTAGATTTTGCAGGATAGGTAAGGCAAACGCAGCCGTTTTTCCACTTCCAGTCTTAGCACAACCGATGCAGTTTTGACCTAACAACGTAAAAAATTGTGTTGAATGACTATAATCTTTCAATAAGCCTTGCTAAGAGTTGAGTGTTGAAATTAGAGTTCTGCCTATCGTAAAGTTTATCAGTCGTGCTTTATCAGGTCTTTTCGTACTGCAATCTGATGATCTTACCACCCAATAATTGCAATCAAGATGCCTACTTATGCAAGTGTATATCCATCTATCCATTTATTTATGTACCATTAGCTAATAGTTGACTCAATAGAATACTGTATATCATTCATTCATTGTAAAACCTAGAAATAATCTTCTATTTACGTCTTGGAAAGTGATCAAGGCTAACTTTCACTAGTCAAATACTGCCATCAATCTTATTTATCTTATCTATTTATGCCTGGTGGCTAATGCAACAACATGTGGTGTTTTCTACAAGTGAAGGATTATCTTGATACATAGATAAAAGTATGATTCAAGGTCGAGCAATAGCCTAAAGACTTACCTTGCAATATTGGTGGTATACACTTTTCTTGTACAGCCGTCGCTTTAGCCAATCCAATAGCACGGCATTGCTTGACTAACCATGTATTTAAGCCTAAATCAGCAAATGAAGAATTTCCACTCATGACTTGGATAGCAGAAGGAAAACATGGACTTGATGTCTTGCTGGTTATTGTTACTCTCTTAATGAGAATTGGATTAATATCAAGGTAAAGCAACTTGATCTAGTCATGGAAAATGATACAAGCAGAAGCATTAGCTCAGCTTAACTTGCAAGCGTTGCCAAGGCAGTAGGAGCTGCCGCGATTTTCTCATTCAAAGCCTCGCATACTATAGTATGACTGAAACAAGTGTAAAAGACTATAGTAAAGCCTATATTAATGGAGTGAAAGAAGTGAATGTATACAGTAGATGACCGTTCGATTGGACTGCCTCCAACATGTGAGACCGGTAATCCATCGTTCAAATCGACTTGTCACCCCTAAATCTTGTCTTTCCTAGGTTGTACTGACTACAATGAAAGAAAAAACCGATTAGGGGTGACATATCATTTTGCACACTTGCCTAGTACGGTACCGTGCAATACTACAGTCTGTAAAAAATGATGTCACTGGCGGAACTTTCTAGTAGCGACATTAGTTTTGCAAACTATTTTCCATTCTATCAAAGACTCTTCAACCCTTCTCTTCATTCAAAAGTAATACTGTACTTACATACCAATACCCCTATTACCGCTCTTATTCCTCATTTCTCAAAAGGAAGTTTTGTTTATTTTTTAAGATAAGATCATTTTGGAGTTTGATTCTATCTTCAGCCATCATGTTCATCATGTTCAATCCATCATTCGTATACTGTACATTTGCAGTTTACAATACCATAATAGGTAACAGCACGGACTATTTGATACTTTATACTATCAATGTAATTCACTAGCAAAAACAATGTCACCCTCGTCTATCGGTCAAGATGATACCTTGGACTGTAGACTACAGTACCTTGATGATGATTGATCAGTACAGCGTGGACTGTATCGTGCCGTATGGGGGCTCGATTCATTCCATACAATTCTGTCGTCTCCTAACGTAATTTGATACTGTAGCTATGGAAGCGATGAACTGAATCAGATAGACTACTCACAGTATACTTTGGGTCCAGTAGGACCACCTCGAACCGTTCCGTAACGTTACGTAACATCCTGCTAGTTCCATAGTAAGCCTGTAAGCTCTACAAGATGAATAGAAATCGAAATCAGTTCAGCCCCGCGTGACCGATTTACTTTGCCGACGGTATCTTGCCACCCCCCCCTCCCTCATTTTACCATCGCTACTTTGGAATACTTTCTGCTGCTAGGATATCGCAAGTCGACCAAATCGACGTTATTCTCATCATCCAGGTAAGATTTACCCTTCTATGTTATGTAGTATAGCTAGGAGTCATCACCAATAGAATAGAAGATGATTGATTGGATAGAGTGAAGGAAGAGTAGAATGAGTAGTAGTCATTACCGAGGAGAGCTGTCGTCATGGAGAAAAATACAGATGCAAAGATTGTGCCATTTTAGTCATGATGACTCATTCAAATTCTTCATTATTCTATCCGTTGTCTCGATGGTAGAATACATCAATAGTGTATTTGATTAGTGTTATAGATACTGTATAACGACCTAGTTGATTCTATAAGGATCAATATTAATCCAGCAATTTATCATTTCTTTCATAAATGATGTTAGCCACCTCAAGATTGCAAGTATTACTATAGCCATCAAACAACAAGATTGAAAATGTCCAATTGGGGTAAGTTGTGGAAAGGAAGAATCAGAATTCATTTTGTAGTTAATATAATAATGGACTGCGAGTGTTTTGCTAGTGGTATCCATTGTTCATCAAATATCGTACAACTCGGTACGGATAGTGTAGCGCAGAAGTCAATTTAAGCTACTCATAAGTAGACAGTAGAACGAGAGAGAGATGGAGTTACGATTGGAACTGTACAGTACTGTATTCTATGTGTGATTAGGAGGAGGGGGGAGTAATCTCGCTGATAATCTCTAAACTACATCTCATATTAATCCATGGGTTAATAGAATACAAGAATAGCAAATATATCAATCTTTGGTTGATATACTGTATTGGCTTTAAGTAATCAATTGATCATGTAGTAATAAAATGATTCAGCTTAGATAGCAGTGACATAGCTTATTCTTGAGTACAGTATAGTGCTTAATCGGCATACCAAGACATCATTCATAATTAATTAATTATTATTTATGATAGATGATGAAGATTTTGAACCACCAAAAGCTGTGACCAAAAATGAATGGGACGACGAAGACGCTGATAATGACAATGTAAAGGTAACGTTGAGCCCTATGAGATATCAAATTTCCTATCTACCATACGCAGGATAAATCATGCCTCATTCTAATTATACTATATCAAATAGACTTCGTATGGACAATATCCAAATGATGCATTGATGATTGATCGAATTATATATTCATGATTACATTGTAGGACAATTGGGACGATGAAGAGGAACAAAAAGCCAAAAATGACTCCGGTATAAACTTCCATAACCACTAATTACGATTGATTTAAAACTGAAATCTTTATTTAGGCGGTGCTAGCCATCATGCATTGGCTACGCTTTCCTTTACGATCAACTTTTCAATCTTTATTGACTGTATTAAAACTAGTTGTCTAATATGTATCACGTTTTATGATAACTTATTCTTGCTGTTTAAATTGTTTCTGAAGCAGAGACAAAAACTACAGCGACTGCTCCACCTAAAAAGAAGAAAAGTCTAAAGGAAAGAATCGCTGAGAAGGAAAAAGAGCGAATGGAAAGGAGAAAAGCTGCGGTACATGGATACTTGCTAAATACAATCATTCTCTTTTATAGTAATTTTTCCAACTAGTCTACACCTTGCATAACAATAATCTCAATAATATCGATACGTGACTTTCCTAGTGCGATTTTTGCCAGCCTTATTCGATAAATTATTAATGCCCTATGTAGTGTAAAAATAATTATCGTAATACTCTTCTTAATACAATTAAATTATTCCTCATCATATGCTGTCGATTTTAGGCCTGTATTGAAATAGCACAAATCGTTCCTAAATATTCTCATTCTATCCACCCTTTTATAGCAAGAAGCCGCTAAAGAGTTAACTGAAGAGGAGAAAACGGCCAAAAAATTAGAAGATCAACAGTAAGGATAAATGTAGCGATATATTGGAAAAATAACGAAATTGACAAAAGCAAGACATTGATTAGCTTGATTTTATACAATATTGATGCTAGTGGATATTGATCTTGTCGTTCTTGAATTTTTAATCCATAACAAAATAACAAAATTAAATTTTTTGCTTGATAATCATTCATAGAGCTGTGGAAGATGCAGACATGGAAAATATCCAAGATACATTTGGTAAGTCATATTTAAATATCCCTCAACTACTACTTCTAAAATTACCGACATAACTTTAAGAGTAATCATAATACTATAGATGTCTCCATATAATATCTTTATTGTAGGTATCAACAAGAAGAACATTTATAATATGAATCCAAAAACAACTTCGGAATTTTCAGAATTTGCTGAAGCAATAGTAGAAAGACTAACGATACATGAGGTATTGTAAATATTTGTTGTAAAAATTATCATTGATATAAGCTATAATGAAAATCCTGTACGAGCATGCGTTCGAAATGTTGTATGGCACATGTAGACAATTATACAGTGTTAATTCTCATTGTTAAGGAGAAATAACCAAAAAAGTAGGGTAATAATTCTCAGTAAAATACTGATTTTTACCAGAAATCGCCACATTATCCAACCGTTTTGGAATATATTTACAGAAATTGTTGCCTCGAAGGTACGGTGCAAGATTTCACAGCTATACTTATAATCATGCATATACTATGATTAAAGTTAGTTATTTAACTTTGTAGAATTATGTGTAGATCATTTACCTATATAAATATAAATCACTTAACTACAAGATTATTTACGGTACAACATTTTTCTATATCCCGTCATATCATATTTTCTTATATGACGTTAGATAAAATATGTTATACTTGTAGTGAGGATATGGTCCACAATTTTTCTATAAAGTTATAACGGACGTTAATGTAATAATGACATTTTTATAGTCGATCCGGATGAAATTAAAAAATTAGCTAGTTCATTGAATGCAGTAGCATCCGAAAAATTAAAAATTCAAAAGGTAATAATTTACTATTTATTTATATTAGATTAGTATCTCCTAAGGTAGACTAGTATTTGACATCAAGCAATTTACTAAGAAATCCATAATTTTATACTATTAGGCTAAAACTAAGAAAGGAAAAAAGAAAGGTGGTGTTTCTAAAGAGTCAAATACTCTTTACGAAGATACAGTATATGACGAATATGATGATTTTATGTAACGAGTCTTGACCATCTATTAAAGCTATCCTACGTTATTAGTAATATATCGCTAAAATATTGGCGCAAAGATTTTATACATAATTGAAAATGGAGAGAAGATGTCTTAAGTTGCTTAACAAGATTCGTAAATTTCAATTGGGAAAGCTGTGATGATAATTATGCAATACAGCACAATTACATTAGTCTTTCTTGGATTGGAATATCTACAACACACTTCGTTTCTTAGTTGTAACAGTGGCTAATTTCAGTAAATATTCGTATTTAGTTTTGTGTCCGTCGGCACTACTTTTATAACTCAATATTAATATAGCGATAGTTTACGGTAGCTGTGATAACGATTTATACAATAAAATATCTGTAATCCAATTTTGTAAATTTAAAATATTATAACGTAAGTATTTCAACCTATTTAACGATCAACAATATTACTTTATAAATGTTATATAACTTAGTATATTGTGCTTAACCATATGACGACGGCGAATATTTAAAACTATTGACACTATTCGATATACTAATTGTCGTTCATATTTAAAATAAAGTGTTAAAGAATTAGTAAATACCATACAACGTCAACAGTAAATAACTCTGGAGATAATGTTGATGTTACAACATTTTTTGTTGGGTGTGTTTTCAACGCAATAAAAATTTGTTCGAATATCGTAGTTGAAGATAGCATTGGTCCTTATCCAATCTCAGCAAAGTATCAATAGCTATGGCGATATATTGTGCAAGGTACATTCATTGATTTTAATTGCGCTGCTTAAATTATTAACAGTGATTAATGCTCTATCGATATACCATATTTTTAAATGGGTAAATATGCCTTTACATTCATAATAATTAGCTTTGGATTGAGTGTTCTTATAGATTTTTATTACTTTATAAAAAAGGACACAAGGCGCAGTTTATCAAAGTAGCTATAACAAGTCCAGATGTCCGTATTCTACCAAGCGCATTCGATATTACAACTAGTTTTAACCAATGATTAGATATAGAACACGTAACATATAATTTACTTCCTGACAAAAGGTTAATGCAAGAATAAATATCTAAACTGAAAATTTACAGTATTTAAGGTCAGAAAAGGAATAAGTGGATTTGGCAATATCATCATAGCCATCTTTAACATATGGACACTTTGCTTGCCTTAGATCTATATTATTGCTATATTAAGAATTAGAAATAATACGTGCGATTGCAAATACAGATCCTATGGTCATACAAATCCCTAATTTGAATTTTGTTTTATAATGGATGATTAAAAATGTTATTTTTTACCTTGTATGATATACTTATCTAAAGACCCTTCCATTTTTGCCATCATTTAACAATATTTCATGCTTGCAGAAAACTCACTCTTTAGAGCAATTCTAACTACATTTTACATATTATGGCACTAATATAAAGTGACCAAACTTTGTATGATTATTATGAAAAGCATTTATTTGATATAGTTAAAGTACCTCATTTTGCTGATGTTAGTGTAAAAACAGAATCTCGAAATAATAAAATTTAATTCTTTCGTATTAAAAATTTAAATGTAAACAGAATTTTATATAATATACAAAATATACACGCAAGGTCTATCAAAATCCTTACGCCTCATACGAAAATATAGATTTCTTTAAAGGTAGCTAAATATAAACATAGTATGATATGCAATAAAAAGCACTAGGGCCTAAGTGCTTAAAAACACGCAGGTGTCTATGATACATTCTAACGAGTTTAATCAGCCATGTCACCTTTTTCTCGCAAATTCATTGTCATTTATACTACACTCTATGTACAAAATCATCATGTAATTGTTATTTCGTATTTATAAATCTTAATTTAAGCCTTGCAAGTATCTTTAATAAAAGCACCATTATGGCTATTTAATAATTCCTTAACAATATCTGTAAGACCTAACTCTACGGACAATTCATATCGTAACTTGATCTCTTTAACAAAGTTGATTACTAAGCGCATGTTATTGTTTAATGCTGATGATAACGGTTTATCTTTAATGAATTGCAGATATTTCTTGGACAAATCTTGATAAAATGCATTTGATATTGCAAATGCAGATCGAAAATCTTGAAAGTACTTGAAATTTCCGTTTCTAATCACTTGCTCAAGAATACTGCTACTCCAATCCAAAACATTATGCTTTTTATAAGCTTGTGCTACAACGAGAGCCTATAAAAATTATGTTACATTAGAAATAGTAGTTAGATGAATAGATTTATTTGAATTTAGTGTTATTTTAAGTATAATACAAGAAAAGTGAATTTTTAATTTATCTAGCGTATAATGTAGTAGGCTACTAACTTCAATTGCATAATATAATTCTACAACTTTAATACACAATAATTCAGCATGTAATTATGCTAAACTTTCTATTACTACGATTAAAAAATTCCTTTAATAAAGGCAGAAAATTTATCTGCACGATAAGTTAATAACAACATCAAAATCTCGCACAATCCAAAAATAACTATTTCTTCCACTCTAACATGTAGGTAGAATAATGGAAACTGTATCCCTCGATGGAGTGATAATATGTATGAGTATGCTACACAAACCTCAAAGAAGTTCTTATGGTTAACCATAAATTTATGAAGTTCGTATTCACTAAGGCCAATTACAGGTATTTCAAATTCCAGTAAACGAATTTGTACATCCACTAATCTGGCATTCATTGCACACTGTTGTGCCATACGATAGCATCCCTCCTGTCGTTAGATTATTAGAAGAAAAATCAAATAATGTAAGAATATTAATATTATAACCAAATGCTTCTAGTAAATAATGCATACAAACCTTGGAGTATTCTTTAGCTGCATCCGTAAAATACTGAAATGAACACTTTAATTCCTGTTTAGCATTAGGCTTATTTTCTGGTGATAGAATTAATGTACAGGGATATATTAGATCGAGCGCAATCCAAATATATAGACAACAAAAAATATTTCACGAGCACCTATTCCTTGTCGTTTTAAGGTTCTCAAAATTTTCCTAGCCATTTCTCGTAAAGTATCTCCAATTTCACGATGCATAGAAAATCGTAACGCTGCCATAGAATACTTTTCCCGATCTTCAGGGTAATTACGTTTTAAGTACTCTAAAATCACTACTCGAAAATTTTTGGCCTGCGAAACAAATAGAGTAACTATAAATTATCTATCCTGTGACCACATCATTTAAGCAACCTCGTATGCAAGTTACAAGTTACTGTATTACCTTATTGGATAATCGACTCATTAATATTTCAAATTGATCAGATTGAAGAAGTATATCGATAATATAGCTCATTTCTCTGTAACGACCAATACCAATTAGAAGACGGATCTAGAATGAATTTAAGTATTTAATGTGATAAAACAAATTCATGCAGTGACACTTTAATCCAATTATATATTCTATTGTTGTTACTGTAAATACCATTCTCTTATACATCTGTAATTGTGATAATTTGTTAGTGCATCTCTTCACGACACGCAACACTTTAGCAATGCCATCCATACTGCACGCCGAAGTGTAACAATCATGAGATCGTATCAATAGTTCAACGATAATAGAAATATCTACAAGTTGTAGTATATTCAATTTGAATAATTAGAACTTACGAAAGTAACACTTAAAATCATAGTCAATAATGTATTTAAACCTGTCGCGCTAATTTTATCATTTCCAATCGTTTCCTTAGCAGTATTAAGTAGATTATTTCCAATAAAACTAGGGTCTCTACAAATTTTCGCAATACTTTGAAACTCTTTAAATGACCATTCAGGATTAAAAATATAGGAATGTCTTTCATCAACCACAAATCCTGACAATAATGAAAATACAGAAACAAGAGTGATAGTAAATTGGCATTGACATTAAAAGCTTCCATCTTAAACCAATCCATTAAATGCATTGTTAATTACCATGGTTCGCGTATGCTTTAATTGTTTCGATAATAAAATCGCTTACAAATTCAGTTGCCTAATTGATAACAAAGTAGATTAAATACTGAAATAAAGAGTATTTTGCGCTAGCTATATACAGCAGTACACACAATAACTTTACATCTAAATTTACCTGATCATTGCTAAGATTAAAGATCCTGACGTATTCGGACGCCAAAGAAAATTTCGATACCAAAGAAGTCATCATAAGCTGCTTCAATAATTCAAGGTTATCTTCAGTTGCAACAATCGAATATTCTTTCTTAAGCCCCTATGGTAAATCAAACGGTAGATATAGTGTCCCTTAAGTCAAATACGTATTCAATCCATCTGATTTGTTGAACGCACAAATATCTTAACATTGAGTCATGATTTTTACCATAGCAAGCATATAGCGTATCATTATGCGCTCACAACAGTTTCTGCCAGATTCACAATGATTAATTAGTTGTCCAATGGTCATAATAATATTTTTATCTTGCTCACTACTGATTATATCATCACTGGTTAGCATTTCTCCATTAATTAAAACACCAGTTCTAATTGACAGCTGTTTTTGTTTTAGAATTGGCGACGAATTCAGTAGTTTCTTCATATCTTCTTCAATGCCATCAGGTGATAACTCACCACGGGCTAAGCTTAAACATGTCTGTCATACCACATTATTTAAATTTAAGAAATTTAAAGAATAAATAAAATTTTTATATATTTAATGGAATATAGAAAAGATGGTTAATTAACTCTATGCATACCCAGATGACATTCAGATCTTGACTTTCGAAATGGAATAGTCGACATAAGTAGCATGCTTCTCTAATTCTGTTTGCACTCAATAAATGTCCAATAAACGATTCCAGGGCAGTCCTTTCCTAAAATTATGTAAATTTCTTTCAATAACTAACCAAGCAGTGGGCATTAAAATCACGGAAGCGGTGCTTCTATGTACTACTGCTATAAATTGCGATACATTCCAATCATTATTCCACAGTACATACGCTTTCTCTCTGCAGAAATGTTGCTGATTTGGTCTGTTTGAATACTATATATTCCTCAATAGGTCGGAAAATATCAATCCGTTCATCAGTAACACAGTTATCAAGAACTGAATTTAATGAATTTATAATCCGTTGGCTAATATCTAAAACAAATTCAGCTGACAAGCAGTCTCCATTCCTGTCCTAGATAACCATAAATAAATCATAACATAAGCAATCAACGAAGAATAATTTTTAAGATTTAAAAAGTGGGCCTTAATTCATAAGTTGTAATCAAAGATATACATGAATACGAAAATACCTTCAATTTAGCTGCTATGAGATATTTCCAAGCTTTAACAGCTACATCACTAATGATTCTTTGTCTCTGGGCAGCACTTTTTTGTTCGTTTCCAGGTACTTCATTTGAGAATTCAAAAAGCCATTCTATAGATATCGCCATTAAAATTGCTTGCTCCTTCGGATGTAACCATGATACTTCAGGTAAACTTATGAATTTATAATCGCACTGGCCAATGGCGAAATCCTGTTGAAATAATTTTTAGCGTATTACTGCGATAGCGTGTACAAGATACAAATACTGTATGGTACTCATTTACTGTAAAAATTACTAAAAATACCTTAAAGAACTTGCAGATAACATTCGATGTACATCCTCGATCTTTTAGGTATAGCCGACTATTCTCCCAAAAAGTTAAACGCGTATCAACAGATAACCAAATATTTGTTTGTGATAAGTCCAGGATTTCGTATAAGATCTGGAATGAGCACATATTTGAAAAATAAAATCTTAAGACTGTATACAATCATGAAAAATGAAAGAAATAAACGATTACTTAAGTGATAAAATATTAAATATAACTTACTTCTGCAATAAAAGTGATATCTTTTGAAAAGTCTAATAATTCGGCAAGTTCTCGTGCCTTATCAAACAGCTTTAACTCAAGGAATTTGTTAATAACACGTTCTGTTTCATTTTTTGAATTAACAATATCGGCAATTCCTGGGACAAGGGCTAATATATCTATATCAACACCGGCATCCACTATTAAAGTGAAAACCTGGTACATAAATTTATAATCCTGTCCTATTAAAGAATAAAACAAACAAATTATTTTCAAAAGTCTTTTAATGTACTATAATTTAATCGCTTTTCTCACCTTCAAATGCTTTGTTATTATTTTCAACTTCAACATCTTTTAATATTCTCAGAAGGAAATGTAGTTCGTATGATGTCTCACAAAGTTTTAGCATGGTATCAATCATCTGTGAAGCAGTATTCATCATCCAGTCGGTATCACGGATATATTTTTTGTCCATAATATTTTCTTCAGGTAATCCTTCTTTGGTTAGACGAGATAATTCGATAAATTCAAGAAAGTAGGAAGTAGAGGCAGTTTCATCACAATCAAAGTAAAATGATTCACAAAATTTTAAGAAAGCCAAAAAGGGGCAATCAGGGTCGAATATTCGGAAGGCTTTGACGATATAAGGAAAAAATTGCTTTTTTTCCATAGCCGTTAAAAGGATAATGCATAAATGCTCAGGCTGCCAATCATTTTGTAATACGTCTAAATTAAGTAAATAAGTCAATTAATGAGCAAGATGGCAATCATCTACTACTTTACTAAGAAAATGCTCCTATAAAATCTCCAATTTTTTTGTGTCTCGCAATTGTAATATTAGATATTAAATTCAAAGGCCTTCTCTAGATTACTTCAAGTTTCATGGAATATGGTATCAATTTTAAATTGCAGCTGGTATTTTACGCAAAATAGGCTATTAATTACAGTAAAATAATCTCTGCAGGCATAAGTAGAATTAAATTAATGATTAAGTTTAGTTACCAGAGAAACAAGCACGATCAGATCCAAATAGTTGGCGGTCTATGCTCTGAAATACCCTGTTACCATAGATGGCGTATAGATACGAACAGATACAGTCTACTGAAACGTAGCTATCGTTATAAGATCCAGCGAGAATCGCTAGCAAAGGCCTCTGGTAAAAAATAGCATACGCAAGTAGAGAGCGGTATGGCATCCCAGTAGACTGACAATGGAAGACAACTTCGAAGAGGTCATCTGGAGGACTAGCTACGTCGCTATCAGTGTCAAGGACGCCTATATGATATGCAGATTAAGATGATGTTATCGAATAAGGAAAATTAAACAGTGCCGTAATAGTCTATACTGTACCAGATAGTGGTTGATCGCTTCCTTCAGCCTGCTCTCGAATTAGCAACTTCTGATCATAATCAGCTGGATTATCGGTCACTTGACCAGATGTGGCCGTATACCAAGCATTGGTAGTCATTGATCCTAACTCTAAGGTATTAGTTTTTTTAACTCCAATCTTAAAGTAAAAAGGCTGTCTTGGATCGCGGGTATACACTAATTTCCTTTTCCTATCGTGAGCCAAATTACGCTTTTTATGTCTAAGATGTCTTCCTTTACCTGCTGAATCTTTCCTCTTCAATTCAACAGTTCTTATATTATTTATTGCAAGTAATAGATGCTCTTTTATATTAGAATCGGAAAAATACTGCTTAATAATTTTAATCACTTGTAAACTAGGATATTGGCATTGTTGAACAAAGCAAAAGAAAGGTAGCCATTCGTTACAGATGGCACAATCTATTAGAAATAATGTCGATAACGGAATTTCATGTGCACGACAGAAAGCGACAGCAAGACGCCATTGTTTCATGGCAGCATAAGAAGTACTTTTTTGACCTTCTTTCTTAATTTTATAACTTATCGCGTTCTCAAGTTCACTTAATACTGAAATTGCTCGGACTTTTCCATTAAATCCAAAGCACGCAAGGAATTGATCAGTAATTCTTGCTTGATCAGATTGCGTTAAATTATCACGTACAAATTTGCCTTTATAACCGTAACTATTATTAGTCATAAAATTATACTTTCTATATGATAATATAACCTTAGCAGATTCTATATCGATTCTCAGTTTTCTACTAGAAATGCCCAGCATTTCAGTAAACGCAGCACATGCATAAGCAATTTTATTGTCTTCAAATTCTTTCATTGCTATTCTGTAAGCCCTTGATGCCGCTTTGGCTAAATGAACTTTTTCCAATTTCAAATTATTGTTGTGAAAAGATGATATAAAAGCTAGAAACGCAAACGATGGGCGGCAACTCCGCAAGAAATATGAAAAATCTAGCCTTTCTCGGAAAGCATGTTTCTGTACTAACGGAGGCGATGAAAAATGAGGTATATCTCCTAATTGATCGCTTGAGTGCCACACAGAAGCTGCACTTTGAAATGATAATATACGCGCTAAATCGAACGGAGCATTCCCTTGTAATAACTGATACATTGTGACATCTTTTGGTTCTTCATGATATGGTATATCTTGTGGATTAAGTACTTTAGATAAGGTAGGATAAGCTACAATACTATCAATTAGTAAGCTTTTACTACAAGTATAGCTAGAACTTGTACTGCTTTGAAACGATTCAAGATCAACTAATAGATCATTTATCGCAACAGGTGCATACATGCAAGTTGCTAGGGCCATCAAGGGCCGATTACTTTCCAACATGTTCGAAATTGAGGAAGAATTTACGTCTAAGCATAACTCAGCATTAGATAAGCTTGCTGCAAGTAGTAATGATAAATTATGATTATTTTTGCCAACCTTTCTAAAACTTATTAGAGCATTTAACCAGTTGATAGAAGATTCTTTAACAATTTTTTTAATTTCCAGATCACGAGTACCATCAAGATCATAATAATCCAGGTAATGATATAATATATTGGGTAAATTGTTTGCAATACAGTAATTTGCAAAAGATTTATGAAATTCTATCAGTTCTTTACTCTCTTTATCTTGAAATGGACTTAAAGTACAGAAGAGCCTTCCTACTTTTGTAATACGATAAAGAAGTTGCCTAAAAGCCATTTTATCGCGCTGTCTATATATTCCAAATGATGCCAACTTATCCATAATAGCATCATAAATCAAGGGAGTACACGCTATGTTATTCCATAATTCTGTCGAAAGTGACCTACCAGCCAATACATCTATACTTTTGTCAGTATCATTCCTATCTCCAATTGCTATTTCATTTTCAACTTCAAATTGACTATATAATTGCGATATCCATTTTTGTAATGTGGATAACATATGATGATCAACATAATACGTCCATTCAGAAGCAATGGATACTGTACGAGCTATATACAAACAAGCAAAAGAAATCGTTTTAGATTAAGAATAATCAACTGGCGTGCAAGCTAACAGAACGAATGAAATAACTTCTAAGTACCAATATCAGTTTGCAAATTATTTTTTAAGGCACATTCTAATAATATTTTTTCCTTGTCTTGGTTACTCCATAAAACCATCCATTCTAATGCTGTATTTAGGTAACCGCCAGTCGTGCCATCAAAAATTGGAGTAGAACCATCAAAATTCTATAGTACATTAACAATATCCGTGTTAGACAGTAAAGGTAAGCAAGATTGAATTGAATTAATAATATTTCCAGTAAAGCTCTTACATAAACATGAAAATATGATTCCTCCTTTAATTCTCCACTATAAGTGGCTATGCGACTATAGATTTCATCATCACTGAAATGTTACAGATACAAGCAAGTAAAAATCCTCATCTCATTTAAATATGGATAATTAATTCCAATATAGAAATTACTGTAACATTTTTTCAGGGATGATAAAGATTTACTGATTAAATTAGCAAGTTTTTTCCCAAGTATACTTTCTCAAAATTCGTAGCAAACCTGATGTTGGTAATACCACTAATTGTTTCTTTAGCTTGTTTAAATGATTGAAACGGATAATATTTTTCAACGATATGAGCGAATGCGATCAATTGGCCCTCACTCTCTGTTAGCAATCTTCTTTCCGATAACTTTGAAATCTGTAAAATGTATATTTATTGATAAAGTATTAATTTCAAGAAGCGTATAGCTAAGATAACACAAATTTAATTCTAGTGAGTAGCATAGAATGCTGCGTTATTTCACGAGCAGACTGTTATCTACTATATGCAGACCTACCAAGAAATCACGCAGACTGCGGTCAAGTGTATTCATCATAATATCCTTAAGTTCCCTTCTAGGATTAAACCCCTATGATATGTTTGTTGAATAATTACGTGGCGATTTCATAAATTGACTACAGCTGTTATCTTCTTATTACCATATACAACGTACACATACCATATTTGTCAGTACATCCTCAACTTTCTCTAGATCTTTTAAGAGTAAGAACTCTAGAACGCAAGATCTAACTACGGCTAAGCAGTTTACTAATAGCCCATTTCCCATATTTTGTATTAGAAAAGCTTGAGCTAAGGGAATATGTCGACTTAAAACAGCGTCTTGCAAGATACCCTATAATATGCATATATCAAAAGTATTTCTGCTAATAAAGATGCTGCACGTTTAAGCACTAATTTAATTGTTTAAAATAATTTAAGAATTTAATTGGTAGCCAACATGTATTACCTCTCTATTCATTTTAAGCCATTTTTTCCAAGTTGTACTATCTTGTTGACCTAACTTGTCGATATTACGTCTGTTACGAATTGCACTGTCTGTGACGTCACTTTTGGTAATAGTTAAGTACGAGCGCAGCGAGACAATACGATCCGCACATGCAGTAACTGCTGATAACAAATTCCTAATATAAATACAGATAGATTTTAAACTTTTATAACGAAGGGTAAACTAATCCATTAACTAAAGCAATATATTTTAATATAAATTATGCATAATTGTTACACACCTTATTGGCAATTCTTCATCAGTTTTACCAGTCTTGCTGTCACTAAATGCTGTCTCGAAGACCATCATACCGTCACGTATGAGGCCATTTACAAAATCCATGGTTAGTTTTAGTAAATGACGACCAAAGTTCAAGTGATGATCTTGCATACTAGTCTCAATTGCCTTGATAAGCATATCAACTGCAGTTATAATTTGCTGGTAATCTGTGACACGTTTAGTGTTATGAGATGCAGATGCTGATTCGGTAGAATTAGATAACCAATTCTCATCCTTTTGCAAATACGTAAATGCTAGAAATTTGATTTACAATAACACAATATAAGAATTAAAAGTATGCTGAAGCATAGCAGTTATAACGTGATATTTATTATGCTACGTACAGTCTTTCCTATTCTTGAGAAATAGAGTAATAACGTCTAAACGATGATGTTGCAATCCTAATTCTAGCACATAGATTGGAATTGAACAATGATCCCAACCATTTAAACGGCTAAGATTCTCTGCCATCACAGGATTGTCATATAGTATCATCTAAATATAACATTTTAGCCCAAAAAAATATAAAAATGTTCGAAGGGTTATTCCTAAGTCATAAACAACATTTAGCGCTGTCCTGTATCGCTTTGGTGTCGCAGCAAATGGACAGTAAATGTAGGAAAGGAAAGCATAATGTTAAGTAAAATTTATAAGCCTCGACTTACACTACTACGCAAGAATGAGATAATAATTTACTTAAATACCTTTATACAATAACAGATAGATTAACATCTTACATTATTAATAATTTCTTCTTTGGTGACAGAAAAAGCAGGAACAGCAAGAGCATTACTTAATAATAGGCAGTAGGAATGATCATGGCTAAAAGTCTTGCTGACGTAGGTCCATTCAGTCAAGCTAAAGTAAATTACATTATAGTAAGTATTTGCCAATGTAGGAAATAATCTGTAAGTTTTCCATGACTGAAATACGAGTACCTTTGTAAGCGGTGAGATCTTGTTGAGAAATCGTATAAACAAATCGTTCCATAATTGTTTTCTTCATTGGCACCTGCTGACGTTGAAGGTACCAGCCATAAAAACACAGACATTTGTGAACAGCGAACATAACGAACAACTACATCGTCATCAATCAAATACGTTGCAGGGAAATAACAGCCGGTATTAGATTCTTGAATACTAGATTCTAGAATTATCAATATTATGCGCACTCAGTAAAACTTGCAACAGTATAATAAAATATATATTAACCATGAATCATTTTGACACATGAACTATTATTAAATACTTATAATATAGCTAACGTCAAAATAAAGCAATCTTACCCTTATTTGAGCTATCGGAAAAACATGATTGTGAAGACGTCGATGATGCTCTACTTCTAGTATCAAAGCCAGAAATGAAGACCTCTGTATTTTTAAAATGTGATGACATAGAAAATTGTTCATAATTCTGAAGCAAAACATTGCAATCCCATTCAGCTTCAGTTTGAAAGTTTATTCGCCGAAACCAGGCTTCATCATCAGCAGCTAGCAAGATTTTCCTTGTTCTTTTAGCTCGTTTATTTACGTGAGGTTTAGATACATCATAATTACGTAGATGTTTCACCCGATCTGAAATTTGTGCTAATTGTGATCTCCATAATACATCACCAGTTACAGACCCTCGATTTAACGTGTCATCCTCATCAAACGCCAAGTTGTCAGCTGCATCATCATAATTGTTACATGTTATCAAATGATTTGGAAATCGCATAAAATAATCATCGAAATTGATCTTGTAGAAATCATTTGTTTCGGTAATCAATACACAGTGAACTAATTCGTAGGCTGTCACATCAAAGGCATTAAACTTTTGTCTGCAAGAGTCCATATTGATACGACCTATAAAATTAAACGTAAAACAAGTATCTCCGTTAGTAGAGTATGTAACAGTAATGTAAGTTGCATATGATTAATAATTAATAGACCGCATGTAATACTTAAAGCATAAATTCAAGTTTATAAGTAACTGATGAAATGCTATATTAATGCCTGTAGCGATAGGAGTCTAATAAAATAATGTTTGCTCGTTACTGCATAAGCCAGAAAAATTCTAGCTGTACGAAAGAGCATATTTATGCTTGCCATAACAACTAGTAGTAAATTACGGTACAGCTTTTAACAATAGCAGTGATACGAAATCTGTACGTCCATCTACTTTACTCCAGTTCATCCTTTATGCTACCATATCAAACAGAATCAATTTCACCCGGTAACGATACGGATAAACAAAACAAACTTGTCATAGCGCGATATACTGTCCTACCTGAATTAGTAGAGATATATTTTGGAGCATCCACAACGCCTATACATTTACCACTGTGCTCACTTAAAATGACTGCGATCATATAATTAAGGTTATGTAACATTATTGCATATATGTCTAAAATGGATTACTTATAGTACCTATTTAGTTAATTAAAATTTTATTAGCTAAAAGGGCAATTGTTTATAAAACTTTATCAACTCTCTAATAACTTTGCAATTGATTTCATTTTATTTTAATAGGATACATATGCAACCATACTGAAAAAGAAGGAATATTAGGCCTAGTTGTACTTTTCCACTGACGTAACCATAACCGTCATCGTCAGTCAGCTTTTTGCCCAAATTCATAAATGTAGTTAGATCAACTACATAACAAATTTTTAACTTGTCAGAATCAAACTTGAAGCCAACAATAAAGGTGTTATCAATCATCATAACAATCCTGTCAAGAGTCGATGATAATATATTCCATTTAGCAATATTGCTGATATCAGCCTCGTATATTGTAGATAATAACTTGTTTTCTAATAATTCTTCTGGTCGGATTGCAGCAACCATATTAGGATGTAAATTATGTTGTTGGTCATATTGTAAGCAATAAACTTGCAGTACGTATTGGTTGTTAAAGACTACTAACGCCCCTTCTGTAGAATTTTCGCCGAAACTTTCATCTATTACACTGTAATCTCCATCTATTTGGTTGTAGTTTCGTTTTAATATCCATGAGAAGCTGTAATGAGAAAAAAATATTATAACTCGATTAAAAAACATGACCTCTGATACCTACGAAAACTAAGATAGCTTTGTGGTTACAGCATTCCTCCGTTGTACGAGCAATTATAATGATCATTAATTACTCATAATAGGATCGCTTATCATCCTCTCCATTTACGTATGTAGCTTTTACAGTACAGTATGCTGGACGCAGTACCCTATTGACTAATTGCTTTTACAGGAAATACAATAATGGAGTTAAATAACAAAGGACTGACGCCATTTTGAAATCTAACTAACTAACAATCTGCAAAGTATTTCTGTATTCTACCATCCATAATCAGTAGCCTTACACCATAAAATCAATTCGTTGCTCCAGCTTTTAGTTTACTATTTTTGACTGCCTCCATACTGCACCCGGTAGTAGTTTATTAAGGTTTGCCAATCAAAGATATTAGCCATGAACTGCTCGTTTGAAGGTGATTAGAAAGACTTGCCTAATGTAGTATCATACAAGCTACTTACTTGATAGACCTTATTGTTACTATCATCTCATATCATCTTTACATGATCCAGGTACAAATACAGTATTAATGGTGGTTAGTATAAAATCGCAGTAAAGTATTCCTATTTCATTCTACTGTATTTGTATGCTCCTATTTGTAGAACGTATATCTTCTTAAGACAGCACACGTATATCACAAACACGGACTAGTTAGGTAGGATTTAGCATTTTATGACACCTCAATTCTACAGAGTCAATATGAGAAGATTAAGCTGTTTTCTGGGCTATTACAATTTCATACTACTAAACTCGTATGCTCCTAAATGTATTACAGAGTCAATAATAAGATGAAGCCGTATCCTTGGCTACTACAATTTCATTCTACTTTCGTTGTATGCTCCTACTGTATTTGCAGTATATGCAATTAAATACAGAGTACTCATTTATCACCATAGAGATATGGCAATCGATATGGACTACCTGTACTACTAGGTACGATTTAATATTCTACGTATGATATTCATTTTACAGAATCAATTATATGACTCTAATCAAGCTATTTCCTGAGCTACCACTATATCATGTATCCTCATTGGTATGATCCTTGTACAAGGATTGACTGTAGTAAGCATCAAATCACCATTTTCTAGAATATCGATAGACTGTAATGGGACAACCATAATTGATACAACTGTCAACCTAATGTACTGAATGCTCGCAAATGCATGATTTTGGTCTATCTACGTGCTTACAAAAATATGAATCCTATTTTAATGGCAGATCAATATCCAATAGATGAAAAGTCTCAATTAAAATGAGGAATAGCGTAAGATATCAAAATGCAAGGCAGTCTAATCGGCCATCCTTGCCAGTATAAAGAAGGAAGGAAGTAAATGCTCAATGACACATACCATTGAACGCCTTGGAGTAGGCAACTCCATTGACCACTACGAATATTGCAAACTTTCAGATGGCCATGGCCAGTTAACAAAGCAATATAAGTAAACGTTGGGCATACACAAGCATCCACAACTTCTTCAATGGATTGATAATTGGCTAAAGAGCGAAATTTTACAACAAACATGACGGAAAATATGAAGAGGATCCAACTGGCAGCGATGGACTAGCCAGCTAGAAATAGTGATAGGGGACAGTAATAGCCTCTAATGACGTCAACAACGTATTGGCGTCTCAACTGTAGTATGGCTTCAACCTTTTATTGTGACGTCATCCGTCTAAAATCGACGTGTTGATAGTGTTGAATTCATGACTGTGAAAGCCATACTAACGCTATGTAGACTCTGTGTGTGGACATAGTGGGACAAGTTGTCAGTCACACCGAGCCAATATTGACATCAGCAACGCGTCGATAGTGCACTGTTTAATTTATGACTCTTCAACGCATAATAATACTATTAGAGACGGTGTTGATAGGCAATCCCAAAGGGATAAATCGATACGGGGTTAGGCTAGCCAGCCAGTCAGAGGAGTGAACATTTACATCAATATCACCATTGGCCAAGACAGTATTTAGTTCAAGATTGTCAATTCTATAATAGTATAATTTCACTTTGTAGCATAGACACCTATACTAGTAATAGACAGGTATGGAATTGCAGTAAGAAGTAAGAAAATAAACGCTAAACAACAGTGGCTGAGGAAAATCTCATGATGCAAACTACCTGGTACCAGTACCCTTGCGGACCACAAACAGACAGACAGACGCCGCATGAGGACATTCATAACTCATAAACGTGCCACTCCGGCTGACCGGCTGCTCATTGTGCAGCTGTAAATTGCAAGAGCTCCCCCACTCGTCGCTGGAGTTTGCAAATACGGAGCTAGTGTTATTGCTGTTAGACGTAGACCATCTCAGAACGAAAGAAAAAGATGACTAGTAATTTATCAAGTATACTGCTACGACATGGAAGCAAAGGTAACTACTCTTATTTTCCATATGTAGCCACAACTTTCTTCGTTATCTTGTAAAGAACGGCCAATATCATGATCGATACATCTGGGACCCATGGCAATGATGGCATAGCAAGCGGAAAGAACAGTTTGTGCAGCAATGCAGCTCATATATTGCTAGTTAGGAGATTAAATCAAACTAACTACAGTGCTTCGACCTTTTAATCAATGATTTACTATAAATCCACTCTAAGACGATACTGTACAGTCAATTTCTTAATTAATATTGAAAACTGTACAACGACCTATGTGTAGTAATCATAGTTCATTTGCTTCCTATTGGACGTATATGTCGACATCCTGGATTACAATTCATCATTACTGTATCATGCTTGTTAAGATAGATCACAAAAGTATTGATTAGCATGCTTATATTGTCTTGTTTCAAACAACAAACGATCAAGTAGTAATCATACTATAGCAGTATCATATAGTGTAGTCTTTTACAGAGATATTGCAATTCTTGAATTATAATGACACTGTAAAGAATCACTGCATCTTTTGCAAGATCATGAACGATCGCCTCTCAAGGACTGTAATCGAATCCCCGATCCAACCATTTCATTTATAGAACTCATTAATACAGTAGAATGACTTTTGCTCGTCAAAAAATACTCATAAGGATTGATGTTATTCTCCTTTTTTATACTGTCATAAGGATTGATGCTGCGATCTACTAGCACTATCAGGTATTTATCAAGTTCGGTGAAAGTATCCAAGGATTTGCTATTGAAATTGCGTAAACGAACTGGCTTTGCAATTAGTAAATGTCATGCAGCACTTGCGCAACATAATAACAATCTTGACGAAGCTGAAAACTGGTTATCTGCTCAAGCCGAGAAAGAGGGATGGGCTAAAGCTAATAAATTGCAAAATCGTAAAACTGCAGAAGGTTTAATAGGAATATATTATAAGGAACCATATGCAGCAATGGTCGAGGTATTAATTTATAACCATAATCGCGTTATAGCTAGTGTTGCTAATATTTCAAAAGTAGTATCTACTGGTGCCAATTTTTTTGTCTGCTCGCTCATAAAAACTATAACTTTATTTACAAAAATGATGCTCTAAAATCTCAATCGATACTTACAGTATTGTGCATTGTTTATTCTATCATATTAATCTTTAGGTCAATTGTGAAACTGATTTTGTTGCCCGTAATGAAAATTTTCTTAATCTCTTAAACGATGTTGCTTTAACAACTTATCACCATGGAAGTAAATCCATACAGAATACAGGTATTGTAATATCAATTTCTTACGTTCACAAAAATAGAATGATATAAGATTGCAGTTGATTCATTGCATAAAACGACTACATTCGTTTTAGTCGATATGGTGCTTATAAGAGTCGCCAACCAATATTTTTGTATAGTGTATAAGTTGATCGACCTATCCTATTTATTCAAGTAAAAATAGTAATATTAGATCTTTTCCTTACCATAAAATGAATTATTTACATGCTATGCTATACTACTGCTTAAATCATTAGATATCGCCACAATGATTCGATACAATTCCGAAGAAATCGGCAACCTGACAACCCATGACTCTCAGCGAAGTTTGATTAATATCACTGCTGCCACTATTGGAAAGATAGGCGAAAATCTTATATTACGAAGGGGAATATTTGTTGCCGCACCGGCTAACGGCATTTTAAATTATTATATCCACTCGGTTGGAAAGCAAATTAGTTCTGATTTGAATGTTGGAAAATACGGTGCTATAATTGCGTCAGAAAATATAGACAAAAGTCAATCGACGAGTGAAACCTCTAAACTTCAACAACTCAATTTGAGTCGTCAATTATGCCAGCATGTTGTTGGCGTAAATCCTGTTCGGATAAGAAGGGATGCCGCAAGAAGTGAAATAGATGAAGATGCCCTATTAGATCAAGCATTTTTGTTAGATAATAGTGTCCAAGTTGGAGAATTAGTTGAAAGAGAAAACCTAAGAGTGTTAGATTTTGTTCGTTATCAATGTGGAGAGGTGGCTGATGACATCGATTAACTGCTTAAAATGCATCTAAATACAGTAGTTTAACAGTCATCAAAATGAATAGTCCAATTACTCATACATAATACAGTAATAGGATTATTTGAATACTGAATATATGCACTACCTACAAGCATTTAAATCTTAAACTGATTAACAAATTCAATTTTTTAAGGATTTATACAATAAAATCTTTCCCAGAGTCGCCGTTTCTAATTTAAAAGTGTCAAATCAAGTCGACCAAAATCTAATCCGATTCCCTCAAAATTGTGCAAATAAAAATCATCGAAGTGATTGACTATTTGCAGAAATTTGTAATGTGTATTAAATTTAAATTGATCTAGATGCGCCCAGGCAGTATTTGCTTTTACAGTTTAATCGATAAAAATTTTCAAAGGATTTGTGATATTTGAAAATCGTAAATGTTGTACACTGATATGGAAAGCGTATTGGGTGTTTAATATAAATAGGTCATTCATTTCTTACACTTTGAATGAAGGTGTAAAAAAAGTTTCATCTCGGGAAAGTAATAACGAAATGGCAATTTGCATAGGTATTTACCACCATACCATGTAAATTGTGTGCAGTTGGAACATAATTGAATGAACATAGATAGCCTTAATAATGACTACTATTTAGACTTGTATAATTTCAATATCGGCACAGAATATAACTGAATTTATAAGCATGCAGCACATGAAATGATAAAACTTTCCTCCTAATTTCTTATTGAGAACACAATCATGACGTTTCGGTGTAAAATCGGTCATTTTATTTAGCCAAAACTTACAGCATCGATTTTTACAGCACATTAATTCAATCTAGTTAAACACAAAATATAACACTAAGACGAAACTTGCAATAAATAGCATACTGTAAGCTATAGAAAAAGGATTAATTATGATTTATTGTTGAGAGCCGTATGAATTTGATTCATTGGGTTATCAGGAGATTTTTGCCAATTTTTCTTAACTAACTGTTTGACTTGCGATAACCGCAAATTCGAATGCTCTTCTCGAAGTCTCGGTAATTCTTGTTCTTCATAAGCAGTATAGGCTGCTTTTAATCTTCTTTCTGGATGGCGATCGATTTTACCTTCTGATATACTTAAAGCAGTAATGGCATCTTCTACAGATCGTGCCTCTACAATATTGCCTTCAGCTACTTCCTTTGCAATGACATGATTGATATTTTCTTCTAATTCATTCGATACTTCCTTGGCTGAAATCGATACAAATAAGCGAAAGTAGTCAGTAACAAGATAACACTCGTATATCGTAGAAATTATCACCTCCAATTATACTTGCACCGATTTATGGATTGTATTCAAAGATTCAATATTAGTAAATTTTCGGTATACAGTACGGTATAACAGAAACAGCATAGCAGTATAGAAGACAATGATTGTACTAGCTATTGACGGTAAGCTGTTACAACAGTCGGGATAGAAAATGGTGTCCTATACTGAATTTACTAGAAAACGTTATGCTAATTAATTGAATTGTACTAGTAGATATACATTACTGGTAGTACCGTAATATGTTTAGAAATTGACGACTTTGCCTATTTCATTCCTGCGATGAACCTGATAAAGTAACGCTACATGTAGCATCTAAAGTGGAGTGGGTTCTTTACGACAATAAAACATCATTGGTAGGGAAAAGTGTTGAAATATGAAGAGATCTATAATAGGTATTTACTTTGATCAATACCGTACAACTAGTGCATTGTGATATAATTACCAAAGTACAAAGTACGAAAAGGTATACGGTATACAACTTTGCATGGCATCCAATGCAATCCATCTATCCATATCAACAAACCTCGTTCTTGGGCCTTATTCCTATCCCTGATTTCTTTATCCTGAATTTCTTGAATTTTCGCCCTTGTCATTTTAGGGCTGGGATTTTTTCCACTAGGAGAAAAATTCTTTTCTTCCTCATCCAGAGCAGTTTTATTGGCTAATTTCCTTTCTTTCACTTCACGTTGCTTCCTTTCTTTATCAGCCTATTTGGATAAGTTTCATTTAAATTGAATGTTATTCCTACTAACAGATAATACTGTGGATTACAAGAAAATAAAGCTTATTCTCAGCAAGTTTGTGAAAATACATATATAAGATTAATTTCATATTTTAAAAAGTTACTGTACCGTTAATAATTACTTTATAATTAATATTATATAAGTGTATTACTGTATTGGTAGTGTGCATAATTTGTAAATATAAATAAAATTGCTCTAATAACTAATTAATTATATATGTTCTCATCACTGCTAAATGGCCAGAACATACTCGTATACAATTTGCTTGCATATAACATAGGATATTTTATGGAAATTGAGATATAGTAAATTAATTTTTATAAATATTCAAAGGTATATTATCCTCCCATTAGACTACAATCAATTCAGTATGAGCAATAGCCGCGGTTGCAGTATCTACGGTAAAAAATTTGTTGCACAACAATCCAGTATAAATATTAAATATTATGAACACATTGAAGCATTTGGGTCTTTTTTTACAGGCAGGTAATCAGTCATTTCTAACTAAGGTGTGCGAGATATTGGGTTTTTGACGTGTAGCCAATGAATCCTAAGTAAGAGAGCCAAAAGTCTTTTGTACAGAGTACTGTATTTTAATGCAGTTATTTAGATAATAGAGGTGAACATTTCAGTGATTCCAATTCAATACTGAAAAGATGATACCCGAGGAAACAAAATGCTATCTGCAACTTTGACTTTCTTTCAATATCCAAGTTGATAGTAGCGTCAGATTTGACACTTTCCTTCTCATTCTTTGGCATAATGTCAAATCAATTCGTGCAAGGACACTGATCGCAATGTACAGTAGTCCTACTTAGTATTAAGAATGTCAATCAAGGAATCTGTTATCTCATGGATAGCAGTATCAAGAATCAGCCGAGTACCATTGAACTCTCTAACTTGGAGTTTTATCTACAATTTGATGGTACTGTAACCAACTTTGCTCAACATCTACTTTATAAACAGCGATGGATGATTCATTCGTGTATCCAATTTAAGGAAATGCAGAAATTGATGATAGGAGTTTCCCCCCCCCCCCAAAAAAAGAAGAAATGATAATAATAATCATAATTACTCGTCTATAATCAAATCCATTATAACAAAAAACGGAAGAATGATAGCGTGGCATTGCATTCTCTCTCTTTCAATCCATTTCATTCTGAAGGCAGCTGCAGTATTGTGAATCATTGATATCCAGTTTTATTATAATATAGAATTGGAATTGATTCTTTATCATGCGCAGGCTATCAAAGATGCTGCAGAACTTGGATAGTAAGCACTCTCTGCATCATTTGTCTGACTGTATAGAAGTGAATTGGACGCCATAAATCGATTACTATTGGATCAATAGGATCGTTTAAGCACGTACCTTACGTGAAAGCTTTCTCAATACCAATTTATCATCTTCTTGCCATAGAGCATCTTCTGCTTCTTCTCTTCTCTTCACTTCTGATGCTTCTCTGGCAGCAGCTTTCCTCGACCGGGCAGTTTCCGCTTTGGTGTTGGTTCCTTTAAATTTTTTGGGCATTTTGATTCATTCTCTCCTATGATCGTTGTTGATCAGTTGACAACAATAACAGGACCGCCTTAGCGCCACCACTATAGACCCACTGTGGTACTACAGTAGTACTAGTATCAGTATCAGCGGCAGTAAGACCATACAGATACAGTAGAGGAAGAAGGAGAAAACACCCAACCGCCAAGGAATCCTGATCGTGTACAGTACTGTGCACTGTACACCGTATCCTATGTACTGTACACTGTGGAACACCGTCCAAACAGCACAGTACAATGTCTTGTAGGATACTAGAGTACAGTACTGTACAGTACATGGCAGCAGCCCTGGGCAAATAACCCACTTACAGTACTGTACACTAGTATCAGTATCAGCGGCAGTAAGACCATACAGATACAGTAGAGGAAGAAGGAGAAAACCAACCAACCGCCAGGAATCCTGATCGTGTACAGTACTGTGCACTGTACACTGTATCCTATGTACTGTGCACTGTGGAACACCGTCCAAACAGCACAGTACAATGTCTTGTAGGATACTAGAGTGCTGTACTGTACACTATACACTGTACATGACAGCAGCCCTGGGCAAATAACCCACTTACACTGGTATCAGTATCAGCGGCAGTAAGACCATACAGATACAGTAGAGGAAGAAGGAGAAAACCACCCAACCGCCAAGGAATCCTGATCGTGTACAGTATAGTATTGTGCACTGTACACTGTATCCTACATACTGTACTGTACAGTACAGTACTGTACTATGCACTGTGGAACACCGTCCAAACAGCATAGTACAGTACAATGTCTTGTAGGACACTAGTGTACAGTACAGTACAGCAACCCTGGGCAAATAACCCCACTTGGTGAAAACCAATTCCAGTATACTGTACAGTATAGTAGTCTGTTATGTTAGATGTTCATAAGTCCCGTGTGGCGTTATTACTGTACTGTATGTTCTCTTACCTCCATCAGGTTGTTTTTGTGTTATTTTAGTAGTAATTTTAGTCATCATCTACAACGAAACAGTGATTCCAACCAGATACAGTGCTGTAGACTGTACGGTAAAGAACTACTGGATGATATCATAACAGGTTAAATTACCTCTTCCATTCAGTAATATTCACTGCCATGTTAGTACCCACTGCAGAAAGCTCAAAGCCATATTGATTGGCGACTATACTGGTACTGTACCACATCATGAGCAAAAGTAATGTCGCTAGATTGAATGACTAAACTAATATCTACACTAGATGAAATGAATCCTATGGGTGACATCATTTTACGTACCTATCTCGCTTAACGCCACTTTGACTGTCGACTGTATTAGTACTGTACCACATCGTGAGCAAAAGTGATGTCGTAAAACTGAATGGCTAAACTACTAGCTACACTATAGTGAACTGAATCGCTATGAGTGACATCATGTTATGTACCCATCTCGCTCAACGCCATATTGACTGTCGACTATACTAGTACAGTACCACATCGTGAGCAAAAGCGATGTCGTAAGAATGATGTCTAAACTACTAGCTACACTAGAGTGAAATGAATCGCTGTAGGTGACATCATTTTACGTACCCATCTCCCATATTGACTATCGACTGTACTGGTACTGTACGCGTCGTGAGCAAAAGCAATGTCGCTGAAGTGAATGGCTAAACTACTAGCTACACTATAGTGAACGAAATCGCTATGAGTGACATCATTCTACGTAGCCATATTGACTGTCGACTGTACTGGTACGAGTAGTACGTACTGTAGCACATGGTGAGCAAAAGTAATGTCCCCAATCTAGCTCGCTAATCTACTAGCTACACTACAGTGAAATGAGTGGCTATAGGTGACATCATTTACGTACCCATCTGGCTTCAACTACAGTACACCGGTACCAGATATGATGACTCATTTCTTGTACTTCAGTTCATGCTCAAACGTATCATTCAGTTCTATAAGACACTATGACGTAAATAATATGTTGAGGATTGTGTATAGAAAGAGAATACTACGCACTGTTGTTGATATCCAATCCATGTGGACTGCTTGACTAGCGCCATAGCGAAGTAACCGGTAGCGCTATACACTAGCCTATACTCTCACCTACTGTAAGCGTAGGTCTATAGCAAGAGTAGAACTTGAGTAAGCTCAACCGGCAAATTCCCTCCGTCCAAGAGCTTTCGGATCCAACGCCTAAACGCCAATTGCTCTTCTATTAATTTATTCAAATTCAAATCCCATCATCATTATTCTCTCGATAGGGAATGCGTTAGGAGTAAATCTAGCAATCACTGCCCCTAAATCAAGCCAAGAGATAGCATTGGACTAACTGCAAGTACCATTGAAATAGTAGACAATCTTGAGATATTAGCGTAACAGGATAACGAGATCGGCTGTCGAGACTGCTGTTGCCATTCATCGACTATCCATTCAAATCGTTGCCATTCCGATCATCATCTTAAACTATTTTCAACTTTTAGTCCACCATTTTTAGAAGCCATCGCATCAAATTAGGTAAGAGATAGGAGATAGACCCTTCCAATGGATCCAACGTAGTCGATCATAAATACCTCAAATCTGCAGTAAACGTAGAATAAAATGTTGTATTTCAGGCGTCATTGCAACTTCTAAAATGTTCCGATAGGCTTGTATAAGACTAAAACGACAAAGAGCAAGGATCGTTTTCCATCTATCTACTCCCATACCATGCAATCATCGTCCATCATTTTGCCATACTATTAGACTACTAAGAATAGGAAATGCTTCAATAACTTTGATCGTCAGTGAAGAACAGATAGCGACAAGAATAGGATACTAGAACGCTGACGACTAAGCGCAGTTTGAAGAATAGGCCAACACTATACTCAGTACTGTAGTGTATATCGATAGACTTGGATTGAATTCTCCATTATCAATTCGACAATAGTTCAAATAGTATAAATGCCTCAATCGCATTTTTATAAGATCCTTTTCCATAAAATAGGAGGGATCTTGGTAGAATTCAATTTATAATTCAATATTGAAATACGATACTGTACAATCTTGCTAACCCATTCACTATAGATAATGCTCGTATCTACTCATCCATTTCGTATCTAATCCTCAAACTAGGATAGGCGTTATCGATATCCTACGGATACAATCTGCTATCCAATAACTGCATGTGGTCCGGCAAAGTCATCAATAATGAATATAACCAACACAGTTTGATGGCAAATTTATCAATCCATTGCTATATAAAATTGAAGTATTGATCGGTATGCATCAATCACCCATTCTACATCATCATATATTAATTAATCAATCTTTACTTGCATTTCATCATGGAGGAGGATAAAATCTCTTACCAGGCATCATTTCAACCTCTCTCCAGATCAACACCAATAAACAAACTGCCGGCACTACAGCAAAGCACTATTTTAAACCTCTCTCGATCAACATAAATATACAAGCTCTCGGCACTATAGCGAAGCGATTAGGCCGATATCAAATTCAATCTATCTACTAATCCTACGCTTGACAATGGATGCTGATGAATTTAGCGAGGAAAAAAATAATAGCTTAATCAGATCGAAAAATGAAAGCCATCGCGTGGATATGATCATTTTCGATACCCTAAATACCATAGGCAATACCACTGTAAATGCCTATCGAACATTTCCCTACCGTTCTATTTCTGTCCTACCAAGCTCATCATTTACAGAAACTGTAGATACGAGTAATTTTCTGATTGAGACGTGCAACCAATATTGAAACTACGATATACAGTTGGCAGTTGGATAGCTTATGGAAAATTCACCTTTGGGATACTGTATAACTAACTCCTATATGGTACTGAATAGTACTGTATGTGTCACGATGATAAAATTGAAAGGTATCGTTATTGATTGTAGTTTCAAAATTTGTGGGGAAGAATACAATTATGATTAACAAAAGCTTAAGAAACGCTCTAATATTTAACGTTGATGAATAGTGATTTTGTCACTTCAGATGGGTGCTAGTTTCGTTTCCGTCAGCCATTAATGCAAAATACTGTAGTATATCCATAGTAAATATGGCGATAGCCGATTGATACTCGCCTAATAAATGAATCAGTGCAACCTAGGTAGATTTGATTGATGTCTTTTTGAAGAATTATTAATCACAATCGATGGGTATAATCCCTATTAAAGTTGCATACAGGCATTGAATAAAGGCGAGCGTTAGATTGCGATCATAACGTCTACAGTAAAATAAACCTATCTCCCGATTGTAGCACAAATATTAAGTACTAATATATTTGAAAGCCTGCTGTGGTAGAATAGTTTATTATAAAAATTTCATCTATTTTTGACTCCATGACTCGTTGAGTGGCCAATCCTTACTAAACGATGTTATCCGTTATCATCACTACATTTTCCTCCTACACGAGTATTTTACTACCCATTTTCAACGCGAAAAGAACTGAAATCAAGTAAATTTCATCTTGTAATATACAAGAAACTATTTTCTTTTTTCCTTCTATCCCTCCAATTTGAATAACTAAAGATACTGCAACATGATGTATAGTTCATTCCATGAACTTGTCTAGCAGCAAAAAAAACATAGTAAGTTAAGTAAAGTTTTCTGTAAAGTATATGTTATACACTTTGAACACGCAGGTTGGCATAAACGTAGGCGCTTTCTTATGATTAATCCCTTTCAATTTCGAATTGCCAATAGTCAATATCAATATTTTTCCACTAATCGAGTTACATTATTTCATTATTGTCTATGTTTATACCACCTATGAGGAGAGTTCATGGAAGTAAATTCTACTTCATATAGGGCAATAGCAATGGTAGAACCTATGATTGTGAACTCGCAATATACTCTTATCGCGACAGAGGGAAAAATCAAGGGAAATAACTTTTAAACTTAAGCAGAGTAATGGATATATATATATATATGTAGTAGGAAAAAGTAGGATAGCCTTGACGATCCAAGCGGAAACTTTTCATTACTCTTTACGACATGACAAATAACACGTACAGTACTTTGAGCTAAAATTATTGTAGGTGATCGTGTCTGTCATAACTATTCGAATAATTTCCGTGAATGTCTACTCCGCAATCGAATAATGATCATGATCGAAATGATCAATAAAGGGGCGTAAAATAAAAACTTTTTACTAATTCTATTGCAGTAGCTGTCAACAATGGATCGATTATTTTAACGCTGGGTGTTAATCAAAATAATATATGTACTATGCACTACTACTTTATTGAAATTGCTGTCTAATAAATCAGTAACAATGTTCAGTATTTTTATAGACCATTTTATGCTTGCTCGATTTCAAAAGTAGGCCAACGCCATCAAACGCGCTATTCGTATTATCAATGTAAATGATTTAATCATTTGAAAATGAAGCATCAAATTAGATAAAGATTAAAATCAGACTGGAATAGAATTTTTACCTACTTTCTATATCACTTAATTCCCTATGTCAATATTGTTTTCATACAGAAGGCCCAAAAACGGCCCCAAAATATTTGGTATGCTATATCGACGTAGTTTGAATTGAACTTAATTTACTCGACGATTAATATCCAAATCGGATTTGTCAATTTACTGGGAATATGCGGTAAACTGCTTCCATCCAGCTATGTTAGTAATTCTACCCAACCGTTGACATCATTTATGATCCCATATTAAAACTAGTAATGGCAAAATTGAACATGTCAATGACCAGCAAGGCAGAGTTGATGAATAATTGTAAATTCGTTGAAACATTTATCAGCTTGAATAGCTTTTAATTTGATCGTTACTTTAAATGTAAATACTGTAATTTCTATCTCCCTCTCTCTCCTACCAACTTAGACAGTGTAGAATAGATTAGTTTTAGAAAATTGGCAAAGTCCAAGCCATTAATGTACATCAGGGCTATCGGAAAAATGAGAGCTGCTCGCAGGAATATGACTACATCACAACTCAGTTAGCTAAGCCGATGATTCGTGATTTCCGTCTGGCCTGAGCGCTTTCGTCTCTATAATATCATTATTTATTTAGCTAATCGATCAATGCAGTTATTTATACGTCGATTAAAACTAGGAATAGTTCTAGACCGTCAACCTACAATATAAGCGTATTAACTTTTTACATTACCATGACAAAATTGATTAAATCAACGCTTCGTTGTCAATGATTACCTCTTAGATGGATAATATCAACATACAAAATTTACACTAAGACGCTATATACAGCACTGTCTATTGCTACATGATCAATTGATGATCGTATTTCTTGCTTGGATAGGTAAAATATTTCATAATTAATGACTCGTTATAATTAAATTATCTCCGCGATAAACTATAGAACGAATAATTACTTTCCTAACTGATCATTCGATAGACCCTTATGATATCATCGTTATCATGAACATGAAACGCAACTGCTACTATGGTTTAGGAGTCTTTAAATTGCTCTATCACTTATTTACCCTCTGAATGGCTCTTTATTATAAAATCCTGGTCAACGTATGTTTTGTCGTTGTTTTTTCATATTGTATATAATTAGAAATCCCCAACCAGATTTGAATGAACCCAAGAACAGCTTTTTATAAGGGATATACTGTAAATGAATAATAGTCAATAACAAATTTTCGCTAGTCGAAATATTGACATTCAAATGAGGTTAAAAGAAAGAAAGAATTTCTAAAATTAGTTCAATAAAAATCACTTCATCAATGTATAACCTCTGTAAACACACAGAATAGATATCCTGGCATGGGTACATTTTTGTAAAAATGTATCTATATGTGTATATTATATCTTTCCGATAGACAAGTCTTGAACCATCGTCTTTTTCCTCATATAAAAAATAAATGCTATTTGTTAATGACAAAAGATCCGAAAATAAACATCAATTTTTTAAAGAAATTGTAGTAGTATTAGCAGTAGATAATAATATAAAATAGCTCTTGCTAATGTAATGTCAAAGTAGTACAATTTCAATTATCAACGTATACATTGGCAGCAATTTATTTTGGAAAGGGGAAGGAAGTGAAAAATAATCAGCTGTTCTATCATCTAGTCAATAATTTAACAGTTGTCATCGTTATTTATCCTTGCGTAGCTTACAATGGTAATTATTGTTTTATGGAAAAAATAGAAATAGAATATATCGTTGTCCGTATTTGTTATCGTTGAGTAGGCAATAATTATAATTGTACAAGAGATTGCTAAGGGTTTTGCATAGTTTATGATCATATCAGGCTAGAGAAAAAATTGGAATTGTTTTACTTTCTGGCTATCCAATACCTATAATAATAAGTAAAATATCCAAATCTTCAATAAGTATTAGCTAATAGGACAGTCAAAATCTAGCTATTAGAGCTAAAAGGCAATACTATAGCCAATCCATAATTTCATGACTACTGCATACCTGTAAACTCTATCATTCGTAGATATTCTTCTAATAGTAACCTTGGGACTTTCTATTCTTCTACTAATATTGCATCGTATTATATTCTCTTGGCTAGCTAATATCTTGTCAGCAATGGCACTACGATCGATTGCTTTTTGTGGCCCTTCTGGAAGCGGAAAAAGTACCTTAATTAAGATGCTACTCAAAGACTATCCTTATTATTTCGGCTTAAGCATATCACGTAAGTTAAATCGTAAACGATATGTAAATGGATAATATCAAATAGATCAATACATTGTTGCTGTTAAATTTATAATATACATGCCATAATTAAATAAGTTAATATTATTAATATACTTGCAACACTAAAACTGATCTAACGCTAACTAATCTAATTCTACATTACACAATACAAAATTTAAATACTATTCGACATAATCATAATATGGAAATGGTGTTGTAGCATGTCGATAATTAGTAGTACTTGATAGCAATTAATGATCGCAACAACCTTACGGAGTCATACTGAAGATAAAAATATATGCTTGTATATACACACCAGTATAACTAAAACATGGATGACTATATGAATATAACTACAGTCTCAAGCAGACACCCATTAAAATATTCTTACCTTATTTATGGAATATAGATACTACGCGTAAACCTCGACAAGGCGAGCAAAACGGCAGGGGTAAATAGTCATACAATATAATGGAATATTATCTTAATTGATGATTGTATTGATATTTGAATAAAGGTTTAAGTGTCAACTTTGCATATCGTCATGGTAGAATATTATTTTACCCAACGTGATGAAATGACTAGACGTATTAAAAATGGAGAATTTATTGAGAGTGCAGAATATTCGGGCAATCTGTATGGTACAAGGTAATCAATAAATTTCGGTAACAAACTCTATAAAATATCTTCTAATAATATCTCCAGTCGCTAACAAACCAAATAATTTTCCTAATTCCATCATTACAATCACATCTGCTACAGCAAAAAAGCTGTCCAAGATGTAACCAATAGTGGAAAAGTGTGTCTATTGGATATCGATGTCCAGGTATTAAATTAAATCTATCATCACTGTTATAAAGTTTACAATTTTATACATCTACCAATTAGACAATAGAAGCTGTACATAGTACTACCATATCCAAGTATCATAACAGGCGCTATCAACGGATTGCCATTCTTATCATGGATCTGCTCTTAATTTTAATAGGGAATAAAAATACTTAAAAAAACCGATCTACCAGTAACTTATATATTCATTAAGTCACCAAATCAGGCAGAATTGGTAATCATTCATAATTAGTTTCAGTTTTTATCTTATATTAATTATAAAATAGACAACTTAAGCTCTTTTACAGGTTTGATTTTTGGGGATTACGTAGGATATTGTAATTTTTAATCACTATAAAAATTGAATCATATAATAGGAGAAACGACTTAGAAATCGTGCGACAGAAACTGAGGAAAGTCTACAGAAGCGATTAAAAACTGCAATTATTGAAATGGAATTTGGTATGTTCCATATAATCCTTTACTTTCAGTTTTGGCTTTTGCTGTTAATTAACATTTCCAACCCATTATTACTTATTTTTATAAAGGAGAATCACCAGGAGTCTTTGATCATATTATCATTAATGATCACTTGCCAGATGCTTATAGTAACCTTAAAGCAGCAATTACGACGGTACTATAGCGCTTTTAAGTTCTAATGACTATTGCCACTGAATGTAGCTATCAACATTTCCTTCACTATAATTATGTCGATTTCAGTAGTACCCGATATTTACTTTGCGTTTGGCAAATTTTCTATCTTATATAGGAAATAGAAGCAGCTAAGAGGTTTCACGAAGAAAATGGAAATTCAACGAAATTTTAAACAAGTGTGATCAAAAATTCGTATCTAGAGTTATATTCCTTAGCGATGATCATCAGAGTACCCATATTTCATCCGTAGCTCATAACTACTCAGAACTGGTGTTTGAAACTTTTTTGCGCATTTATTTTTATTATTTTAAGTAGATAATTATCCATTAGATGCTACTCAAATTCGATAAATATTACTATTATCATGGAAGTTTGTCTTTACATGCATATCTTTGATACTTCACATAAACCAACTCTGTAGCGTATTTCATTTTCTGCGTTCCGATAAATATAATCAAGTACGGGTATATTTAAACCATTTCTGTAAATTTACTTGCGAAACCTCATGTTGAAAACGATAAACCGATGAATAAATAGCACTGTTTGAAAATTATCTATTAACATAGTGGATAGTTGCAAACTTATCACTACTGTTTTATTGAACAGATGATAACGGTAGTGTACTGGAAATGAATTTTTGCCCGGTACGTAGGCTTGATTACTGGACATAAATGTATTTAATTAAGTTAATTAATATCTATCTACGATAAGGTCATTATTATTCATAAACTTTACACTTTCTACTAATATTATCCCGAAAATTAGTATTCTTCAGAATGAAACTATCTCGTTATATTAGACAGTTACTGCGATTAGCAATTCAGAAGGCAAATGTTCCTAATTAGTTAAGCATAGCAAATTAACGATGTATACCGATTTGGTGTCCTACATAACAATGATCTAGCTATAAACTGCAATAAATTGTAACCTCTTTACGAAAATTATGGAAGGTCTATCTTTAAGAAACGTTTATTTCATACCGTATATCACCGATAGCTTCATAGCTTCGGATTGTACGGATATACAAGTAATTCTATTATACTAATTGGTTCGTAAATAATAAAAATAATTAATTACCTAAGTTGGACATGATGATACTAACAGTAAAATAAAAAAAGCTAGAAATTGCCTCTAATGTACTTATTAGTTTTTGGTTTTGCTTCATAAGAATATTCATTAACAGAAATGCAATTCGTATCACAAGATCGTTCAAATGACTTCAGTAGGAAGTAGTAAAAATTATAGGTTCGCTTATAGACTTATTATTTACACCTCAAATGAGCCACAATCAAGTAGTTATCAGTTACATAATTATATGACAGTATAATGGCATACAGTATTATACAATTGGCTATCAATACTTATTAATTAATATGTATGCTATTAACACTGTGGAAATAGCAAAAATTTCTGGTAAGAATGAATCTGAAATTTATATTCAATCCAACATTTAACTTGAAAAACTTACTACAAGTTATACCTACCAATAGTTGATGCAATACTATAATCTTGCTATCATATTGCGCAATTATCCAATGTAGCTATTATTATATAATTATCGATAAATTCTTGCAAGGAATAACCATCAGTCTAAATTTATAAACCATCGATGATTATTACCAATTTAATTTGCTGAAAAAAGTGAAAGAACCATAACTTTACTATTCTGTGAACTTTTCTTCTGGAATATCATCTCCTGCAGTATCTTCAATTTTATCATCATCTGTTTTATCTGCCTGCGGGGGCTCAGCAGAAGCATCTTCTGCTGCATTTTGATCACCATCCAGCTGGGAGTTTTCCACTGGCTGTTCTTCATCAGGAGGTGAATTTTCCGCTTCCGCTGTTCTATCGTCGTCACCAGTAACTGAAGCTACTGGTTCAGTATCTGCTTCTGCCCCTTTCTCCTCAGCATTTACAGAGATGTTATCTTGTTTTTGACTTGCAGCTTCCGAAGCTTCATCTTGTTGTTCATCTCTAACTGATTTATTATCTTCAGTATTATCAACTTCTTCTTGCTCCTCATTATTAACTGCATCTGCATCTACAATAATAATAGCGCTAATTAAATTAGTAATAGCTTCAAATAACTTACAATTTTGATAGAACCAACACAATATAATCATATACATATTTTAAGTCTATCAGCTTTACCATTTGTCTGAGCCTCTTCTGAATTTTGTTCACTATCTTGATCATTTGTACTCTTATTATCGTCTACTTCAGGATGTGCACTCTCTGAACGATCACTCTGATGCAAACTAGTGGTATCGCCATCTTCTTTAGTGCTCGCATTTTCAGCTTGATTACCCTCCTGATATATTATAATAAGCATTTCATGATCAAACTTAAAAAGAAGTAAAGCATTTTACTTATAAACAAAAGTATTGGTAAAATATCTGTTCCGCGCTCTTGACTCAGAATTTCTTTTAAATTTCTAACGGTAATTTTCATCATGTGCATATTTCGTCAATATTAAACTTAGACTCACGTCTTCAACCGGTACTTCATCATGTTGCTCTTCTTCAACAAAATCAGCATCTTTCCCAGCTTCATCTTCCAGTTCACCATCTTCAGGTACATTTTCTTCATTTGTTGTATCTCCATTAATCGGCTTACCATCATCCGTTTGATCTACTGCTTGTTCCTCAAAGTCATCACCGTAAGCTTCTTCTTCATTCCCCTCATCACCAACTAAATCACAGATAAATTACAAGAAAACGATATAGATTATCAGTAGATGTTTAAAACTCTTCAAAAATCGATATTGAAGGCGATAGCAATAAACCTATTATCCTTTATAACAACTAAACATTTACCTTTCAAAGCCTTTGTGGCTGAACTTCCGAAGACGACACCAAGTTTATCTACTGCTTCTTCATAACTCGTACTTCCATGCAATGCATTAGATACAATATTGGATCCAAACATAGCTCGAAGTCTAAGATGATTAACGAAATGAATCATTTAGTAAACGAAATTATAAAGATATTTGTAAAATAAAATGATTATAGTTTTTTAAGATATAATTTATCAACGTATGAACGTACGAGGTGGGATCCTTTTGCTTAGCAACATCAGGATCATTACAGCCGATCATCTTTCTAAAACCTGAAACGGCTTCTTCTTTCTCCAAAATCATAAATAGGGATGGTCCACTAATATAATAAATATACAAGTAAAGCAATATTTAATAAAACAGAATAAAATAAAGTAAGCTGGCTAATATACCTAATCAATTTCATGTTAAATAACGCATTATTGTGATACTGTAATTAATTAAATAAAAATTAGACTAATAATTCAATTATAGCTGCAATTTGGTTTACCTGCTCAAAAGGGAAGTCAAGCTGTCAAAGAAATCCTTTCCTTCATGTTCTTTATAAAACTTAGAAGCTAGTTCCTTGGTTAATACAGTTTCCTCTTGCATTGCAATATTAAATCCAGCATTTTCAATTTCTTGGATAATTTTTTCTATGTACGTGAAATTAAGGAAAAATATTAAGATGAGATGAATTCAGCTATAGCTCTAGTTAATTCCAATAAGAAATCTACATTTCGAGTAGTGATACTTGGGTAAATTTACCTTTATTCTCCATTCCATCAGGCTTAATCACAGCTAAAGTTTTCTCAAGAGTCTTCTTCCGCTCTGGGAAAAAGAATTCCAATTCTTTTTCCGCGGATTCATGATTTTCACTACCATGAACTACATTAACATCATCCGAGCTATAACGAGCTCGCAAACTAAAAAATTCAACACAGAACTAACATCAGCTCTCTTATATCGCGAAAGGTATTATAGTGAAGGTTTGCGTTTGTAAACATATCATACCTCGATGGTGCTAGCTCTTTGGCAAGGTTAACATCGGGTGGTCCAATCATATCTCTCCAAGCATCAACACTATCTTGTTTTGCTAATGCCAAGGCAACTAATGGACCACTAATATCGAGTAAAAGTTAGCATTAACTATAGTATCAAAATATATAGTACATCTAGAATGTTGCTTTAAACACATTGATCGCTTAATTCTGTTACACTGAGACCACAGATCAAAATTAGCGTGATAAAAGTATAAGTATGTACGGTACATTAGGATGAAAATGATAGTCAATGTTACTATCGAGAATTCCAATTCATAAATTGCTTTAACTAACCTAGTCATTCGTGTAATTAATTTCTCAAAGTAATCCTTCGATTTATGCTCTCTATAAAACTCCTCAGCTTCTTCTCTCGTTAACTGTATTTCTTTTTGAATAGCAATAGTAAATCCAGCATCTTCAATCGCTCCTATAATTCTCTCTGAAAGATATTTCAAAAATTTTGGTACACAATGTAAAAATTGCATTTATTATACGCATTACAGATTGTAATTAAGAATAAATCCATGAATTTATTATAAATAATGGAGTGTAATGAAATACATACGTTTGCTTTCGGAGTCAGTTTCGGGTCTAATTAGAGCAAGAGTTCTTTGCAGCCTCGATGGAGGCCTTTCCTCAGTTTGAGGACGAGAACGAATGACTTTAGGTACAGAAAAGTCTGGGAAGAAAAAGGCTAGTTCCCTATTATATTAAAAAATTTAGGAGAAATTGCTTACAACTTCTGGTAGGATGTTGTCATGTATATATCAAAGTAGCTAATTTACCTAGCAGCATTATCTAGTGAATCACTGCCATGGAGACCATTCAACCTTGCATCCGTACCATATAAAGATCGCCAAGCCTCTGGATATTGCTCCTTTTCTTCAGCTGCTTCTGGAGGCCCAATAATTTCTTTCCACTCATTAATAATACCATCACCAACTCCGTCCTTGCTTAATATTAGTACACAACATGGGCCGCTGCAATAGAAATTTTGATGAGTTCAGGCAAGGTTAATAGGTAACTATTGATACATTTTACTTATCCATTAACTGAATAACTAGCCTAGGTAGTTTTAAAACTATTATAATATAAGTATGATTAAAATATATATAATACCTAGTCATATAATCGATTAGCTGCTCATAATAGTCCTGTAGATATTAAGAAAGGACATTTTTATTTTTAGTCTTACTTAATTATCATACTAGTATAGAAAGGACTTATGCATGATTTCGTTTATTTAACTTAGCAATGATATCTTACAGTGTCTTGGTGTTCCTTGTAAAGTTCAGTAGCTTCATCCGTAGTTAATATTCTTATTTCTTGTTTCAAGATCATGATTCCAGCTTCTGTTAACTAAATGGATTACCGTAATGTAAGATTTTCCTTCCGAAAAGACAAAGGGAGCTAAAAAACTATTTCTATAATAATCGTACGTTATCTATTATTTCTTCCATTTTTCCTTCCTGTACGGCATCTGGTTTTATAATAGCGATGGTAACCTCCTTCGGTACCTCTATAATAGTTTAAAATTAGCAATATCAAATTAATACCCTCAAAATTTTAGTACTCGTACATTGCCAGTAGTTTATAACTGCTAAAGCCCAAACGTTGATAGTTTAAAACTAAGAAATTTAGCTTACTTCGTTTTTCTAGTTCTATCTCGTATTGTTTACGTTCTTCTTCTGCACGTCTTTCTTCTTCAACTCGTTGTATTTCCAAGTCAATAATCTGATTAAGTCATAAAAAAAAGTAGCACACGTTAAGGTAAAGATGATAAAATTTCTTAAATTGAAAATAGGGGATCTTTACAAAACATTTAGTGTTGCTTCTCACCTCAATTCTATGTATGCCATAACGATGAACTTGATGTTCTTTATCTAGCTGCTCATGAATTTGTCGAACAAGCAATGGTACATTAGCTCCTCTTACTATACTAACGAGAGTTTCACCCTGGAGGGAATATTAAGATTGAATATTTTCGTTAATAAGAATAATGCTAGTGCTAACAAACTCAAATTATGAAATTATTGACAATTTTAATAACGATACCCCATAAAAGAGAAAGGTTGGCTGAGATTTATTTCTATAAGCTGATAACTGATCAATGTTGTCAGATTCGGCCTATGAATAATACCATTAATAATATTATTAATACCCCATTTAGAAACTGAAGATATAAAGTATTAGCATTAATGCTATAATTGGTTTAACATTTTTACTTAGCAATACTTACCACAGCAAATTGTAAAAAATCATCGCCAATTTCATTACGTACTTTTCTCAGAGTAGATGCTATGCTTTTACATGGTCCACACCAAGCAGAATAAACATCTACAACTGTAGTAGATTAAAAGGATAAACTATGATATGAAGCCGTGCTATCCTACGCCTTACAGTATATAGTTTATGCATGAAACATCGTTTGTCCAGATAATTTTACGGAATAAAACATGTACTCCTATACAAATAACAAATCACTAACCTTTCAATCCTTCAGTAGAAAGTAATTCTTCCCACTGCGCGTTTGTTTGAACAACCGTCTACAAAATTAAATGGTCAAGTTTGGATGAGCGGGTGATACAAGGCATAAGTTAAATAAAAGTAAACAGTTATATGTGGAACAAGCCCCAAAAACAGGTAATCAAGTAAAACCAATATATTAGGTGAAGCTTTATCGCTAAACTAATTAGGAAACAGCAGACAGTTTGCGTTTTATTAGGAATGGCAAGAGTGATATAATATCAATATTCGTATGGTAGTGAAGGCGTGTGATAGTGTTAACTAACAGTAGATACCATATGACTCATTTTAGGAGTACTGCATAACACATCCCATTTTCTTAATAATACTATCTGGTATATCAATACTTAAGTCAAAATTAATGCCAGTTACTGGCATAAACTCATTCGATCCTATTTATACAATAATGGCATCATTTAATTATCAACTTTCGAAGGAAAGAATAGCATCCTACTGGACGATGTATTTGAGCCCGTTACAACCCTCTTCTTCGATGAAATTATCCTCCGTTTATAACAGGCATACTTATAAGTACGGTATATGAGGAAAAGATGATGAAATATACAATTTTTTATCATTATTAACGTGTTGGTAGCCTGTCTATGAAGGTAATAATTGAAAATTGTACCTGAAATTGGATATCGACTTTCTTCCTAGCCATTTTGTGGATAGTTAGCTTCGTTTGTTGCCGATAGCAACGGTGATGATGTTATAACGCATGGGCAATCGGTCAAAGCAACGTCTGGAAGACAGACGGACGTCAATTGACCGTTCACGTCCATTGCGTCTTCTAGTCATTTTACTTACACCTGTCGAAGGTTATAATCATATACTGTACTTTGAATTTAACTTTTTTTCATCTCTATGGCAAGAGATTCCTTATGTTTTCCCTTTCTTTTACCTCAATGGTACTACTAGGAACTACTAAAAGTATGCAACATGTATCCTTCCTTTTGTAAACTATACGAAGTTGAATGAAGTATTAAACATTGCTGTAGCAGGACTATTCAAAAAGAGTACTGTAATGATTACAGATAATAATAGTGGGGATTGGGGGCCATTTGTTGTTGTTTTTTAAATCGGTATCCTAACTTCATGGCTCTTGGAAGAGTTTTTAAGCCATAAATATAAACAGTATAACTAGGAATGTTCTGTGCTCGCCGTTGACTGTTGGCTTTTTACAGAAGAAGAACCAAAGTGCACCGAAACAAGTCAGACCACAGACCACTAGATGCCGCATAAAGTATCCAGTGGTCCATGGTCAGGCTCGCTGGTAATCAATGTAAAAATACAAGCATTATATTGTATGATCATTCCATTCCGCACTCAGAGTCTCTACTCCACTCGAGTACTACATTGGATAGCATTTGGAAGAGTTCCCTAGGCACAGACTGTAAAAAGGATGCCAACATCTCGTGTTGGCCAACATTGGCTTTTTGCATCAACAATAATAAGAAAACCGAAGCACATTTAAACAGTAACAGATTCAAGTCAGGCCCACTGGTAACCGAAAGACTTATTCCATCCTACAGTCTACACGAGTTACGAGAACTTGCGATTAGGGCAGCGAAACTGTTGGAAGAACGAATAGTTGAGGAGTCTCTGGAGTGGTTATTCCATCGGAGACTCGAAGCTGTAGCTACACTACTGTACCTGTATAGTTAATACAGTATCTGCAGTTACGGCTATTATTGTAGTCACTGTAAACTATTTTTCTCTCGATAGCCTATTTATATTGACTTTCGGACGAGTTGAGGAAGGATTCTACAAATCTACAACATACCAATACTATTAAAGTATCAATCCAGTCACTAAAAATTATCTTGCTTTCAGGTTATCAAGTAGGATATACATAGACGTACTTTGAAGATTTTTTAGTAACTCCGATGGAGGGATCTATTGGGATCTGTTGATCGACTTGTATTCATCAAATAACATAAGAAATGGACGTTAAAATGCTCTCCCATTGGGTTATTATAATTCATCTTGAAACAACGTTGTTCAAGCTTGATGGAAAGACTCCAAATTGCAACGCAGTGATGTTAGCGAAGAGTAACACTGAGGATACGTTAGTCCATGGATGTCAATCAGTACTTTGCATAATAATATTGCTCATGACCATTATGATTATGGACTGTTTGGAAATGATGTGCAACATCTCTGTTTACTCCTTGTATAATATAAATATAATTATCATGATTGAAAAGAGCATTCCATAGATCCCATGATATAATAGTCGAGGAAGTAGGCAATAAGAATAAAAAGTAATATCTTCGTTTAATGAGAAAGCTTATCCCATATAGAAAAAGTGATCCAGATTATTGAAGAATTCTTCCTCTATTCTAAAGTCTTGACATCATTATGCGAATACCTACTATAGAACAACTACGCAAATCGAGGCACTGCCTTCTGAACAGTGCATTCCTTTATATCACTATGACCTCATCAATACAGGACCACAATAATTAGTGAAGTACTGTTATGGATATTTCTTCAAATTAAAGTCTGTTCTCGACTTAGTATATTTTCACGTTGTAAATAACATCTTTATTTACTGCAACGATGCAAATCAAGACGCAGCTCTTAGATAAAAGGTAATCTTTTCTACAACTACAGATCTACCAATACAGGACCACAGTAATCCGTAAATATTAAGTATTGCTTCAAAATGAATTCTACTCTCGACTTAAAAATCTTCCTAGTGACAAGTGACATCTTGATCACTTTATTCTTCACCAATACTATTTCTATTGAACAGACAGATTCACATATCAAGCCTTTAGGGCTGATGACGGGAAATATTGCGCTACTAGTTAACCAATCATTTCATGCAGAATGATTAAATGCAGTCGATGGTACTTTGTTAACTAACAGTTTGTATTCTAATAATTTAATCAACGGAAATGACAATATATATAATTTAATCACCCTGAATGCAATGTACAGCGATTGGCCAAGGCCATGAAGACAAGATTTTAATATTATTTCATAACTCTATTTTAAGTTCCTTCATCAACATGTCATGTTGCATAATGGAAGATGGTCTCTTGCCTTCTTTATTCGTTGTTATTTTGTGCATACGAGAACATACAGTAGAATAAAGCGGCGTTAATATTATTCTATCCAATAATTTAAAACAATTCCGGTATGGTAAACAATGAACAAATGCCTAGGATCGAGTTTATAAGTCACACAACATAACTACAGATAGATAGCCGCCAAGCTAGAAATAGTTACTACGAAATGATCAAAATATGCAATCATAATCATCGTTCTAGGACAAATATGCATCTATTAGCAAGACATACTACAAAGTCGCTAATGTCGTGAAAAATAGATTACATGTGCAGCCTAGTTTACATCGATTTTATCATAATGTAAAATACGATGACAAGCGTAAGACATAGTGAATTCATAAAATAAACATTCTGTTAAAACCTGCCAGCGTCAAGTTAACAGTATGCCATGGAGATCGATTCATAAAGTCAAATACGTGAATATTTTAAATGTGGCAAATATTTACCGACTGTTGTCTTACTGGAATTTTTATCACACCATCCATCGATATAATCATGACTAAAGTATAACTACTACTGTATGATTAGTACGATATTGAAAGGTAGCGGGAGTAAACAATTTGGCAATCCAATAGACGATGTCTTAAATGGTTTCCTTTATCTTGGTATTAAGCTGGCATGTTAAGCATTAACTGACTGAAATATTGTAGATAAATCGCTTATAGATATTCATCATCGCTATCGTGTCTAGGAATAAAAGTATCGCAAATAGAAAAAATATTTTAACTATAGAACGATTTCACAGATGATCTTTAACGGTAAGCTTTTCCATTAACAAGCACAAAAGTGCAATAATTTCCATGACCGCCTTACAGGATAAAGAAATATTTTATTTCCGGTGCAACATATACAGTATCAGCAATGAGATAGTATAAAGCGAAAAAAAAATTGAATGGTATATCCATTCTAATATCGGCCATGTTATCGTAGCTTTAGCAAGAGCACCATCAAAACTACAAGTTTGGAGTAAACAATTCGTTACACTAACAAATTCTTTGATGGAGAATTGATGCTCTTATACATAACATGTTGCACAATGAGCTCTTTCCTTTCGCTACCATATTGGAAAAATATTAAAAATAGGATTAAACATTCATCTCTCGCCAATGCTGATGTATCCAATAAATAATAAGTACGTTAGCGCTTATATATTATATAGATAGATTTGAATCAAAATATTATAGAAGATAATCAATTCGACATTAGGTCAATAGGTTAAAGGATGACATTTTAGAAACGAATACATTTTCCTTGAATCAAATAACGTGTCAATACTACTATCAAAACGATTCTACACTGATGTGACATTAGAGTCACATAAAAAAATATGGCCAAACCACTTTAGCGATTCGATGGGAAAGGACTAAAATTGCATCTAGAGATAATATTATTTTGGGGGAACTTATTAAGCATTCTAAAATGCATTCAAATTCATTAGCAGTAGAATAGTTTGTAAGTTTTCATTTTATAAAGTTATGAAAAAAATAGTGCCCACCAATGCAATTTCTTGTGCCGGAAAAAAAATTAATACAAGTTGTGATATGATTTTTCTTCCAAATAGATGCTTAATTTGACTTTAAAGATACTATGATATGGTAATATCTATACAATCGAGTTAGCAATCAATAAAGACTTGATAGATAGATAAGTTTTAGTGCAACAGCAATACACCATTTATGAAGCATTTGTAGTGATTATGGGAAATGAAGAGTATTTTCGTTTTAATAAGATATTATTTAAG